GAAAGCGAGTGGATCAAATAAATTCATCTGTGTAAACTAACACCATCAACAAACACCTAGTAAGAATTAAATTCATTCATATAGGCGTAGTTCATAAATCACACACTAATCAGCATCAGATGACCGAAAAGATTAATTAACAATGAAGTCCGTCAACAAACGAACCAATGACCTGTCGCCCAACAAATAGGTATAACAAAATCGAGATGGATTGAACATAGGCTAGGCAGACCGTTGATTGACATCATGCGTCTGGTCTTCGAGTGGAAACTGAACAAAAGATGACGAATTTGACTTCCGAGGGTGAATATTCATATTTTGTATTCTATGGAACTATATAACTACAAGAAATTTCGTCAAGTTACCATACATATGCTTTATAAGATATGCTCACTTTTATGGGAGTCAAACAGAAGTCATCAGTAGAAACTATCTTGAAGTTTCTATGGGTTATCTTCGCTGGTTTGAATAATATGGCTCTCTGAGGCAATTCAATCCAAAAGAATTGTTGACTGAATAGGGGAATGAAGGAGATCCACATACACTAGTGTTTGTTTTCTTATCCATACTTCGTCACCTTTAATTTCTTCTCAGATGTTCCAGTCTCATTGGTTTATACTTTGCCACTTCTCTCTGACAAACTCATTATTAATATTAACGTTCATAGCACATACCAAAACGCGGAAATAAATGACTACTTTTCTATTTGTCTTCAGCTATGAACTTATGATCAGTCGTCAACTTGAACAACTAAATTCAATCCATTCCAACGGAAACTCAGATGGAAGGCGTATTAGTACTTTAGGTGCAGGTATTATCCAACCAATATGCATTCTTAATATCAATGGATACTTAGGATAATACTGCAAATTCCACACATATTCCATATCGTAAACGCAATCTGACCAGAAATTTTAACATGTCACGTTTCCATTTTCGTTTTAACAATCTTTAGAGAGTGAATTCAACCTAGTGAAACTTTAGTATTGAGCCTCGAATAGTTTCGTAATTATATAGAGTTCGCAGAGAAGAGTGTATCAACGCTGGGTCATAAAACTCACAAAGATGAGTCTAAATGGTTTGGAAAAGTTTTAGAAAGTTAGTTCCTGTGTGGGTGGAACGAGTGAATGTTCTGAAAACGAAGAAGAAGAGAGAAGGACGACTGAAATAAAAGTCTGATAATCCTGGAAAATTTATCATGATATTTGCTTTGTATATAGAGGAGGCTTTGGCAATACATAACACAAAGCCAGAACACTGTGTACAAATCAATCTGTGAGATCTCTTCTTCCATACAATAGTCTTGATTTTACCATTTAATTCACAAAATCCTTGTTATCCTTCTTTATTCCATGTTCCATTTCTGTTTTATTTTATTTCGCTTTATGTTATCATATTCTGACATTTTATGTAGTCTACTATTTTGACAACATTTCACTTATATTGTGTTTCCATCATATTATACTCACACATTCACATTTCCGAATGTACTTTATTTTTCCTATCATCTATTTCACAGGCGTCTTGGTGGGGCATTGCTGAAGAATCACAAGCTAGAACGAAATAACTATCCAGTACTTTTTGGTTTTCAGTGGTCTTCTGTCTGAAGTCACTTCGTTGTCAAATTTGAAATCAGTGAAGTCCTGCAAACTGACACTTGGATGCTCAATTTTGGTAACAACACTCAGAGCGTAAGGCGTCTTGAAGAGTTTTCCATCCACTTTGATAAATTTTAAACAAAGCCCTGAGAAAGAAACATTATTTCGAGTTGTCATAAATCTATGTATAGACTTGCGTCAGACGCATGATCAGCATTTGCTTTAATTGACAAAAGGAAATTATGTTACGCGGTTATTTTTGTAAATCTGAGTAACCAACAGGAGATGAAGGATGAAATTTAATATTTTTAGGCATAATTTCGGATGATTGTTGTCATCAGTTTACTAGTTAGAAATCTAACTCGAATAATCTTCTCACCAAACACCATACATATCAACTTAAAGAACCAGAGAAGAATGTTGATGTTATTATATGCCACCCTTACAAAGGTGGAGGTGTTGTAGTAGTGCATCGCCAAGATTATAACGATAAAATCTCAGTGATTCTTTCTGATAGAATAAAATCCATCAAACCCGATGGTGAAAGATGCAAGACACATCTAGTCGGAAAGCAGCTGATCGATGCTTAAAAGAAAATGAGGAGTGAATCCGTAATCACGTCAGATCTATATGAACACATCTGACCAGTAGGCTGCATAATACCACGCTTGTGTGGGCTACCGAGAACTCACAAAGCGGGATTATTCCTCCGTATAATTCTCGAAATGGCGGGTTCTCATTATCACGGAAATGCTCAGTGGCTGGTAGAAATACTGGAACCAGTTAGAAGGCAAGTGTCTAAGTTTTTCATTGAGATTATTGAAGCTTTCAATATCTCAGACAAAGTCATATTCCCATTAGATGTAACTTCACTATTTAACAATGTACCTCTCATGGAAACTGTTTGATGTATACGTGATTATATCGATGCACGTAGTTTAGAAATAGGGTTTCCGACAACCTATCTCAAAGAACTCTTGTTGAGATGCACGCTGAATATTCATTTCACTTTCAATAATGCGATTTTTAGACTGAGAGATGGCGTTGAGATGGGATCACAACTGAGTCCATTGCTGACTAGCTGTTTTATGGCAACGCCTGCAAACTCCCAACGTAGTCAAACCATCGGTCACTTCGACATTTATAGAAGATACATAGACGACACTTTCGTTATCTGCGCTAAGAACGTAATTCTTTGTGATCTCTTGTTTGCATTCAACAACTGTCTTCCCACTTTGCAATTCACCAAAGTAAAGGAATCTGAACTAAGCATTCCCTTTATTGATGTGTGCATTATTAGACGTAATGACGGACTTCCCAAAAGACGCATCCACCGGAAACATTCACTGAATGGACACCTAACTAAATTCTATAACTTGGTGTTTATATCCAGAAAAAAGAACCCAATTAATTCGCTCTGCTTTAGAATAAGAAGCATTTGTAGTTCTGACCGCGTTGATCCAGAACTTGCCTTCCTAAAAGGCACGCTTTCAGAAAATGGTCATCCTTAGTGATGTATTGACACAAACACGAAAGATAAGCAGTCCAAACTGGTCACCGACTCAGTGCAAAAGAAAACCGTATTCATGAATTTGGAAATCAAAGGTGATCAAGCTTCAGATATGCTCAAAGCCGCCTCTCCAAATCAGTCAATAAGACGTTCACGTCAAAAACGTGCACTGCGCGTCACCAAAACATTTCCGACAGCCAGCTGGAGACTTTTGTCAGTAGCTGCCTTCGCTGGCTCCGAATTGCAGATCAAATAGCTGGTGAGGAATAATTAGCAAGAAGAAACTGTGGGAGCGGACCAACCGAGAATCAGTTGTTCAACAAATATTTGAGAGAAAGTGGAGACAGATTTCGTAGGCTCTGAGTAGACCGTCGAATGATATCACGCGATTAGCAGGATGTCTCTCGAGTGGGATCTGAATGGGAAACAAAGAGTTGGGCTTGTGTCCTAGGGCGACATGGAGTTGGTCGTGTGTGGAAGAAATGAGAGAATACGGGGCAATCAAATGGTCAGCTAAAGAGAACAACAGAATATAGAACAAATTGGAGATATTTTGTTGAGGCCCTATTTTCAACTCAGTACCTCAAGGAACAGTTATAGTGATAATATGGGAAAAAGAACTTGAATATGTCAAGAATGGAAAAACCAGTAGTACTGATAATAATGGTAATTGTGATAATAATGGTAATATTACGACGAGTTAAGAAAATGGTACTGATAAAGGACAGTTTTAAGTGAATCAAAAATAATAATAAGAGGTAGAACAAAATATGGAATAAAATATTAGTAATAATAATAACAGTTAATAAGCAAGTCATATTACCATGGTAGGTTAAAAACGATGTCGATTTACTTCTGTACACCAAGGCCGGATTTCACAAGCTTCGGCAGTTGCAAGCATCTTCCTGTTAGTTAGTGTGTCTGTCTGCTGACAACAGTGAATCACACGACAGCGTCAACATTACGTCTGCAGGCTACAAGACGCTTTGTCATTGAAATTTTTGGTACTATGACAACAGTTGTTTTCAAAATATCAGGCCAATTATTCGAACTTAAATAATGTGAAGAGCGCAAAATTACTGTTCTAATGACCATTAGTAAATCTTTCAAAGTTTCTGAAATCGTCTTCAGTTATTTATACTGATAATGGTGAAGTAAGTGTTGAAAACTGCAATGATTCTACGCATAGTTCACGTCATATCAAACTGCTCTTCGTAGGTATAAGAAAGTTGAATGTGAGATCGCCAATATTATGTTTATAACACTGGTAGGGTTTGACTAAGATAGGATTGAAGTATGTCATTTCATATCTGGGATAATTGGTTGGACGAATACAATGCTGACAACAACTTTTGATAGGCAGTCACTTGATGGCCTTGACTAGTTGGCTAAACACTGAGAGAATACTTACCATCTACTGAAACAGACTGCGTGAAATGATTGATACCTTGAGTCAAAGTGGAAGCTGTAAGTTCAGAAATGATAAAGTCACTGGAGACATTTTCGGTAGCTTTTCAGATTTTCGAAGAAGACTGATATAGAAGAGTTAGCAGTTAGTCAAGGTAAAGCGGAAAATAAAAAAACTAGTCACTCGCTCACTGTCTTAGGGGTGCACTTGATTCCTTCAAATAAATATTGATTATGGCTTCAATATTTGACTGTGTTCACCTTTTACGACACTACTGAATTATCTAAACGCTGGCATGATTGGGACGCCTTATTTCATAGGTAACAGAAGGTAATCAAATAAATCAGGTTCACTCAGATCAGTATATTATGATAAAAACAGTTCGATAAAAATAAATCAGAGTGTGACGGCATTACAGTTCAGTTTCTTTTTGAGTATAAGCACGAATATGTACGTTCACCACGAACTACGAACACTAATTCATTCACCATACATGACACTTTACACTTGGATTCATCGGTGAGTCCACTGGACACTTGTATGCTCTTGCGAAGCTTTTACTATTTGACAAGGTACCGACTACTCTAATAAATAAAGAGGACAAGAAATAGTGGGTTAATGTATTGACTGATACGGTTAAAGATGTAGAAAACTGCAGAGGATGTTGTTAGTTTTAACTGTGTGTTAAATTCATCGAAACCTCCAATATAAGTGGCCTGCTTAAATCACTGAGTCACCTCAATTTTCCACCCATCGAAACGCATTGTATCTATTCCGTTTCATTCTCTTTCAACTGTTTAATACCACTCTGAGTTGCAGTCTCAACTTGCGCATTATTTCAGGCAATTTTCTATCTAGGGATTGAAAATTTTCGAAGGAAACGAAGAAAGACTGTAGAGTAGTATTGAGGCATGCTTCACATGACATATTATCGGTTATTACGTCGTTTAAAGATTCTATATGCGGAGTGAATACTCTACAATGAGAGTCACCGAGAATTCTGTATTGTGTATAAACGCCTTTTCAAGCATGAAGCTATTCTGTGAAGTGATCTGGTAGATGGTGACTCGCAGTGGAATCCAAGATGCTCATTTAATCCTATTTGGAACTCGTCATTTCGATGTGGCTGCTTTCCTCAGTGAGTATTAATCTTCCCACTGAGGCTGGGATCTAGTACCCATCGTTTCAAACGCCAAAGCGCTATTTACTAGTCCACTTGGACGAACGAACTTCACCTCTTGTGTAATGGGTGTCACTTATTATTTAATCCAGTTTGTTCGTTACTTCAAACTTCTGCAAGTTAAATCCTTAGACATATTCGAAGCATCTGCACAGGAGCCGGTATACGAATTGAGGCTGGACACATACTTCCAATCAGTCAACAGGAAAGTACTAATTGCCACAACCACCAGATAGTGTGTTGGCGATTAATTGTCCCCTTGCTTAACTTGGTGGACCCCGGTGATCAACACTGCTTACTGGAACTTCAGGTAACTTCCTACATAGGGCCAGTCGCTAGTGAGTATTAGATAGATTCTCAGGCACTCGTTTGCTTTCTTCAATTTTATCTTAATTTCAGCTTATTTTATTAATCAACATCCACTCACATACTCGCTGATGAATAACTGATGAACTGGAGGAATGGCGTGGAAACTTTCACAATTCTAATAAACTCTTACCTGTAATGACCTAACACATGATCAGCGTTAGTCATGTGATCAATTAGTCCATCTGCACTATACTTTTCACAAAATGTCTGAAAAAAATAAGATCAACAAAAGATGATTTATTTCCTAACTCCAATATGTTGAGGTACAAACTTCAGATAATCACGTTGTATTCAGTGTATAAAATAGTTTAGGGAACCGATTGACATGATAATAATAGCAGTAAAATAATAACGTGTTTAAAAATGCCAAAGAGTTTCCAGTCTGCTCTCATCTACGTCTTATAGCAAACCTGCCACATGCTCCGACTCCAGACGTATTTCTTCTTTCAAAACGGAGCAATTGGTATGTTGAAAGCCATCAAAAAGTGCACATGAGTACAGAGTGTTCTACAAGAACGCAAACAGGCCGTAAAAATAAGCTACAACTGAGTGAATTCGAGACATCACCGTCTGTAGAAGATTAGATAGCCGAGTGATTTCAGCAAGTTGCGAGATAAGTTCAAATAAAACGACCAAGTAGGTTAAGTTTACTTCTCATCAGTTCTGACTGATTTCAAAGTCGTTAAGCGCTCTATTACAGAAAGTGGTGAAATTATGTTTCGAAATGAGAGCGTATCTTAGCTAGTCACATCAGAATGCCCACACAGAATAGCCTTCAGAGTGAAGATGTACTGGTTGAATTTCTGAATCAGAAGTAAAGCATATTCCACAGGGTCAACACAACCATCTCTCCGAAACACCGTATGCTTAACAGTTTGATTTGACTATACTAGAGCATCTCCTACAATGTGAAATCTCCTAGATTCACGGCACTTGGCATAACTCGAAGTGTTCTGCATTTCAAGAAAAGAAGTATACTGCTGGTGTTTATGAAACTGTTGTCTAAATTGTTTATGTTGGTATCAGCAGATGAGCATTTGTTATGCTTTCCCATGTTTTGATACTCAGTGTAAAATTTCATGAGTGGTTTATTCATACCTGTCAATGATGAAACCAATTTCATATATACATCTAGGAAAACGGTCTAATGCATATCTCTTCGCACAAGTGAGAAGCATCTGAATGACTTATCAGATTCTGCTAACATAGGCTTGAGGCATTTAAGTTAATTCCCTGAGCAAGACTAAGTTGTAAACATAACAGTTTATCACGTAGTTTCTATCCTTACCTGTTCTATTCTCCTGAGTAATCTTTCAATGCATCTAATGCCAAATAATCAACTAGTATTTGTTTTATCTGAGGCGTCGAATTCTTATCGTTTCAGTTACACATCCAAACAGCTGTGAACACAGAAAGCATGTCTGGCATCACAGTTCCATTCCAATATCTATCAACTGACATAGTGGATCAAAATATTTAGCATATATTCCATAAGATATCGAGTACTACCAAGCACAAGGATCTATCTACTTTACTTTCCAGTATCTTCAAATCAATGTGGAAATATTTTGCTCTCACCTTAAGGAAGAAGATTCAAATTTTCAACACTAATGTCACTGAAGTTAGGGATGCACTATGATTCGAAGACGGTGTGCACAATATGGAAGCCATTTAAAACAGGCTACTGCAGGCTTCTATCAATGCCTAGGTACTTCACTGAATACTGATAATCAGGTCGCTGGCGTGAAAGGGTAGGCGAGACAGAACTGTAGCAGGCAGCGGACGAACCAATATAACCTATTGTCAGACAAATACGCAGACGCAAATGATGACTGATTGTACATATGCAGAAAAGATTGCTGAATGACATCATACACCAGGAAGGACATCAAGTTGAACCCCAGTAGAGAGTTGCGAGCTGAGAGATGACTAAAGGGTGAAATGAACTGGATCATATGGAAAGGAAGTGAGTTTGTGGCAAATCGTGGTTCCCACTGGAAGAGGCCACATAGAACAAATAAGGATGAGCTTTTGAAGCCTTGTCTTCCACTCGAAACACAAAGTATGAATAATTATGAAAATGATACTTGTCAGTGTCTTATCATGAGTCAGTTTTTCCTACTACAAAATATACTCAGTGGTCTACCAGTTTTGGAAGAAAACTATGAGAGCAAACTCAACAAAGCCACACACCTGAGCAAAAGTGAAGAAAAACGATTTTTCGGAAGCTAAAGAAGAGTTCGTGTTTTCATCAGCACCATTTCTAAAGTTTCTCGTCAGTCGTTGCAGTGTCTGAAATGAATAAATTACAAGAGAGAACATTATGACTAGAAGTCAATAACCAAGGCTGTATATCAACCTGTGAATTCTTAGCAGTTGTGTTTCAACACCGGCGTGATGGCCTATGGGTGATGAATTCAAACGGGTTTGAAACACTTTGCATTTACAGCGGTCCGTTAGACTCACTTGCTATTCAAATAGATTTTGACATAATTTTGAGAGGAATTTTGTCAGCCTTGGTGATTTCAATAATGTCGTCAAATAGTATGCATTCGCATTATCACCATGATCAATGGTGAAATCGGCCTCAGAATAAATCTGATTCTGTCATTCATGTATTTAAAACAGTTCTAGTGTTAAGTTTGTGAATGACATATGAAGTATTTCTCAATAAACTGATCATAAGTTTTGAAACACTTCTAGTCATAATAATGAAATCTAATACATCACACTTCCAACATAAATATACTACCAATAGACAGAACTAAGAGAACCGTCGAGAACTAGGCAGGACTGGACAAATGTTGCATCCTATTTTGGGCTGTTTTGCAGTGCACGTTCATGACTCTATTGATATTGTTCAAACTAGTGACCTTCGGGTTATAAGACAGACTTCTTGGCCATTCAGCAATTTGAACAGTATTCAAAAGCTGACGAATTCTAACTTCTGCCAATGCGTGACATACAGCACTACTGCCATGCTTTTCTCAAGCTGATCGTATTTACAAGTTAAATTAGCAGTGAATCATGAGAGTTAAGTGGCCCACTAATGCGGAAACCTTCTGGAGGTCTATGTACAGGGAATGGTTAATACAGCACATAGAAATGTATTTTCAGTTCACAAATAAACCTGTCTTAGTCTTCGTACTTTGACAAGTAAATGAGAGTGATTACAGCATTGATTCTCTCTCTTAATTACCCTGTGTTGTTGACTGGTAAATTGCATACTTTATTTTAAGTAAAAGAGAAATTGTGTCAATGTATTCTTTGATGGGATATTTCATGATATGGAATGCTTTTATTTGAGTGCGATAAAGTCTAGTTTGGGGAGGGTGGTAAGTTCGATTTGCTCCTCGAAGAAATTTCGGAGCACATATTAGAAGTTCTCCACATGAACTCAGCAGCCTATGTCCAGTCACTGCAACTACTTCATTATCTCACTATTTACAGTTCTAGTAACCTGATAACTTGGGCTTTCAGGAAAACTAGTCTTAATAAACTGTACTAACCAAATGTAAGTGTTCATTAACTATCAGTACTTGGTGATAAAACCGACTACTTGTGTCTTCCAGTCTATTTAGACAACTTGTTCGAAGACAGTGTCTTAGCCTTTAATGTTTGACGCCTATGTATTCAAAAACAATTGAAGTCATGAGTGTGACAATAATGTGATTCTTTGACTTAGTTCATGTGGTAATGAAATGCATCTCTTGGGGCACATCCAGTATGTTAGTCTTCTGCCTAACTCATACTTTAGTGTTCCTGCTGACGACGCGTAAAGCCTCCTCAAAGTCTCGTAGACACGCTGTATTCTTGATAAATATACCCTACTTTCAAACTAAGTAAATTATTTCTTGCGGTTCATTTAAAAAACGATCAGAAGCATAGTGGAACATTTGCCACAAGTACAAGATCAGTGTCTACAAATTTCACCTCCTGGAATTCAGCTAATAAACTCCAACTGAAAGTGACAAAAGTGAAAAAGGGTCTAAATGTTGACAGTCAGTGTGAATGATATCAGGAGAGACATTATCATACTGTATACATTGCTGACATTACGAAAGGAATAACACACTTACCTTGTATGCTATCCTCAGACCACCGTTATCTGACAGAATTTCACCGAGAGCTCCAATTGCTGCACTCTGACAATTCAAAATAGGCATATTAGTAAATGATATGGAAGGACATCACTTTTGAATATACAAAGAAGGAGTCATTCAAGTTTACATTTTATGAATTCTAGAGTTCATACGAGTGTGTGTAGCACAGTCAAACAAGCTGAAGACGTTTTGTTGTGTTCCAATGACCTCAGGATATGCTTATCAGAGGCCATAACACTTAGAAGTAGTTTGGATTAACACAGAATTCTACAGGACACATGTATCATGACTTAGATGAAACGTAGGTGTCAATATCAAGCTCGCTTAGTGCAAATGAACTTTTCAAATTGTTCCTATGATACCTAGTCGTATCTGTGGAACAATGATCATGCAATGCTATCTCAGAAAATATATGTAATAAAGACGAATCGATTTGTTTCCGTAAAGTGAACAATAGGGAAGATGAGAGTGAAATACTGGAGAACTCTCAGTTTGTGCACACTGCATTCACGAGGATTTAAACAAATTTAGAAAATAAGCAATTTCAAAAGTGCTTGCACTTCTTCTAATAATAATGACCAAACATAATCTACGCGTTTTCTGTTTTCCATACAGCATAAACAAACAAAGGTAATTTGACGAATTTTAATATTTTATTTAGCACAAACGACAAACCTTTTCACTCGTATAATTGTAATTTTTGTATTGTTTGCGTAGACATTCTGTTTGCTTCAAGACTGCAAGAAATCCATGGTAGGATGTATTGTAAGGCCTCTGATATTCATTCTCATCGACAAGTATACCTTGATATGCATGAAATGTAGTTAGATTTATGTTAATTGATTTATTTTGTTCAGTAGTACAATAATAAGTTTAGCATGGTTTTATGTTTCCTTGACACCTCATATTCAGTGTCGATTATCAGCAACTTAGTTTAGCATATTGACTGAAAGGTGATTTACAAGGCAGAATGCACTGCACGAATATTCTCTTGGAGGCGAATCTTAACTACATTGTAGCAGTCAATTCAGGGTGCCTTAGAAGTCACTCAGGCATATATGTAAGCTACGTGTAAACTACACTAAAACTGTGAATGCCACTTGCATTATTCTTCACCATGACACACAATTTCGTACATTACATGAGCGAGACTGTCTATGAGATAATCGGTGATCAGTGGCTTCCAAACCACAAACGGGAATGTGACAAATGATTTTGATTATGCCAGTAAGCACACACTGAATGATTAGGCAACATAATTCTGGAATTTATGAGTAACAGACGGGTTAATACGTCTGAGCTATTTGAGTTCACGCATATGAGGAAAATATCCGAAATAATAAGGTAATTTTCAATGAATCTTAATAATCAGTTGCATACAATTAGATGAAATGCATCAGTGAGACATTTTCAAACCCCTCCTACTGTTGTCCTTGCCTTCTTAGAAAAATCATCACATTACTAAGGGCTTATCACTCCTACCGAAAATGGCATTGGTAAGAATTAGTCGAGAAGATGGTTTCTGTCTATTTGAGTTGATACGCTTGCTCGTAACTTCAGTTTGAATGAGAAACGTGTTGAGTGCATCAAGCGAATACAACCCTTTGCTGTGGTTTGAATGTTCTCTGAGGTTGTATTTTTTAACCATGATATTGCAGTTTTCGTTTACGATGTGATTCAAAAGTTGTTAAAAGTCTACTCTACTAGACTAACTTCCATAGTTTGTTGCATTTTATTGATATCATCATTTTGTTTGCTAGATACCCGAATGGACAATAGAATCTAGCATGGAACTGTACTTTACTGAATACACCATAAGGTCAGTGATATGAACATGCTCCTTGGAATGGTTGAAATTCACTGTAGTACGGAGGAAATGACATGACAACAGTTGCCTTAGTCGCCAAGAAACGCAAATGAGGTGACGATACTAGTCATAATTTAATACACCAGTTAAAATGTTACTGTGAAAGACTGAATCAGAATAAAACAGAGAAAGTGTGAACCATGTTGGCCACTTAACAACTATGTGAGAATACAGCACTTCAAGTGATCCAGAAATGAGAACTCAGAGAATCCTCTAAAGTGAGGACAGCAGTAAGACAAAGCTGCTGCCCGCAATCACTGATGATATCCCTGTTTGTGGTGGACCGGATTATGTGAAAGACTACGAGCAGGGAGAGAGAAGACAAGATAACGTCGGACTGATAAGAGGACTCTAGAAGATCTGGACATCGCAGACGCTTTATGTCTGACGTCACGAAAATTCAAAAACTTACCAGTGAAAGCTAACAATTTGGGAGAAGACGCTGGAAGAGAGGAAGTGATCTCAAGTGGACATAGAGCAGATGATAGTGATGAAGATTACCAGCCGACAACAATAAAAATAACAAGCACCAATCACTATCGTCGGGAGAAATTTGAAAGAGGTCACTTCTTTCATATGACTAGAAAGCATCGTCTTAACTACAGGTCAGCATAACGTATGAGGATGTCAGAACAAGCCACAACTGAAAGGCCAAAGCTCACCTTCATCATTCTGAAATCAATTTTGAAATTTTATGCACTACACAGCATGAAGGATGAAATTCGTATATTAAACACCAATGTCGGTGAGTCGGTTCTTCGAAAAGGATCAGGAATGTGCTCTGAGAGTCACGAAAGTCAATTTCAATAGGATACTGCAGACTGTGATCAAGGCTGGCTACTCTGACTCCATAATGAAGACCAGGTTGTTAATAAGAGGGATTTGGCCACAAGGAAGTTTGGCAACGAAACAATCAAGAAAAATATTCTGTACTAAACGGAGATCGATCAGGCAGACTGAGGAGGCCATCTAATGGCATCACCTGCCAGATCATCGCTGGAGTGCATCGAAAATGCAAAAGGATGTGTTGGGCGTCTGTCCGAAGTTGGTACTGAAGAGACTGTGTGAAAAGGAGATAAAAGCATCTGAGAAACCGTGGTGCCATGTGCTGTTGAAACCCTATGTTCCACTCGTAACCTAAGTTAATAATAAATATAACAGTAATATTAATGTCGATTGACACTTCTAATGCCTCTGACGATTCAGTTTAGATAATAACCAATAAGCAACATATAAGGCTGAGAAAGAAATCAGACAATATGGCAGCCGTATCTTTCCAGTGCTGTTGAGCAACACTAAGTTACACCAATGCAGAGAAGAGCTTTTGACATCTTCAAGTTTCCAGTGAAGCACTCAGTGAACTAATACAACTCCCTTTCAATATATAATCAATGAAAAAACGAAGCTTTATCAGTGGTTCAATCGTAATAGGCTCACCACTCACCTTCCCGGTGACAGTCTGATTCCTAGACCCCAATGCACTCCTAAGCTTCGCCTAGTTAGTGGTGAGGTAGGGAAGAAAGGTTGGATGTAAGCCTAGTGAAGTCACCCTGTAAACTAACTGTTTATGATGGTTCAAGCGTCATACTTGAAGTCTTATGTCAGTCTCCGAAATTGAACGAATATTAGTGAAGGGACTAAGAGAAATCAATCTGAAAGAATAAACATTTCCAGCGGTTCAACAGAAAGTCACATTTCTACTAAATTTCAAATTACCACATTGGAGATGATGACCACAATTTCACTGAAACCAGATCACGAAAATACGAGCACTTTGAATGAGGGAATCAACTTAATTTTCGCCTGTAATCTGGGATATTTTCCCTAAAACTGTCTGTCAGTTTAATACATGACAACAAAGGTACGTTAACAACTACATTGAAAACTCATTTTGGTTCGTTTAGTACCGGATGTATCAATAGCATGCAATAACTCATGAGCTATGTGCCAACCCAATCCCCCATATTTTTCGGAAATTGTTTGATCATCGTGGTAAATCGGTAGATTCATCATAGCACCATTAATAGATATGCGGTTTCCAGTGGGCCAATAGGAGGCTGACGGTATATAGGTTGCTTCTTGCGCATCCAATCTGTGCAAAGAGAATAAAAATAAAATTTCATCAGATGTATGATTGTTTCTGACAAAGTGACGAATTTAAAATAACTCAGGAGACAAGTGACATGTTACGTGAATCCAATTCCAAATTAGCAATAAACAACATTCAGCATTTTTGACAATTGTGAAGCTGCAGATCAAATTTCACTTCAGTTTCTCCTAGAAACCAGAATCGCCCTCATCGCTATATGTGATCTGCTTGATGCCAGTCCATGCAATTGTCCCGTCAGAAATTCAGACGGCTACGCCTTTCAGTGCTGAGTCAAATTAGGTGCACTGTTTATGAGTACCACCTCAAATGAGCACAACTATCTTCAGGCGTTTAGATCACTTCGACCTCCTCAGCTGTATTCTGCAACACTCAGAGGATTCTTGACACTGAGCGAACAGGCAAATCAACCCCAGAGTTATCCACAGAGCATGTGGAAATAGTTCAAAAAGAAACACAGACTGCAGAAGCTATGACAATCCATATTTGAAATACTCAACTTATTTGTCTCAACACTTAGTACTCAGTGTTTGTTAATCGTAATTTTCTGATATTAAAAAACAAAATTTATTCTGTTTCTCTATTCCCACTAGTACATTACTACTGTTCATAAGGCTGGTGATAATTTGACCCTCTTTCAACTTTGGCTATTATTATCTTATTATTGTTCTCTTGTGTTCCGCGTGGAACCTAAGCATTCAACAACAGATCTCCAATTTGTCCTGTTTCAGCCGATCCTCTGCAGCTGGCCCCAGGATTGTCTGTTGTATCTCATCTCCTCTTCATACGATTGCCTGCATTTCAACCTCAGCCCAACTTGTTGTTTATCATTCAGGATCAACTCGAATGATGGTCTAGTGCACGGCGTCATTCGATGCTCTCCTCATTTATTTATCCAGTCCATCTCCTTTTCGTACTGCATATTTGTTGAGCACCCACTTCATGGTTAGTTTCTTCACAGAGCTTACTGCTAGTAATTATTTTTATTCTCACCTCCAATAAAGACCAGGAGAAGTCAGATGTTCATTAAAGTCTGCAGTATCCTGTTGGAAATGTTTCTCATGACGAGCAGTGCAAGTTTCTGACCTGTGTAGAAGGAATGACCAACATAACATTGGTGTTAAGAATCCAAACTGTTTTCTGTTGGTCTTTAGTTGAGACAATGCTTCTCAGATAAGTGAAGGGAGTGACGTCTTTTAAATTTCCCCACTTGATGGTGATTGGTGCTTGTTGTTCTTGTTGTCAGCTGATTATCTTCATCACCTTCACCTTTCCTATGCCCAATTGAAGTCGCATCTGTGATGCATCTTTTGCCTTTCAGTTGGTTTTCTGCTGTAGAGTTTTGAGTCCGTGTGACCCTAGACATTAATCATACGGGTAGTCCAGGTCTCCTAGAGTTTTATTATAAGTTCACCTTTTCCTGGCTTTCCGTTCCCGACTAACAGAATCTTGCATAATCTAGTACATTGGAAGGGAGAATATAATTGGTGATTATGTTGGGCACTCTTGTCTTACTTCTGTCCTCAGTTCAGAGCCTTCGTTGAGCTATCTGTTGTGAACCACCTGACACGTCGCACTGTTATATTTCCAGCTGTTGAATGAAGCTGAAAAAATGTCTGGGGTCCTGCACACTCCAGTGGTGAAGTGGTTTCTACAGCGCTCCACGGTCACTGCTGTCTATCGAAGACCTCTTCAAATTAGATAATTTTGAGGTAGATGCAAATATGTAGATGTACGAAAGGTAGCCCAGGTGTCAAACAGGCCGCCATTAAAGAATGACAGTTCACTGCCATTCTGTGTTCTTTTTCGTCGAGTTGCAATTTGATCCGAACATGTTTTGCTCCTCCTGAATCCAGCCTCTTCCAGTCGGAGTTCCACATCCAAGGGATAATTCATTTTCCCCAAGAAAACACAACTTAATATGTCACTTGGCGTCGATCATTTCAGCTAAGCTGTACTAAAACACCTATATTATGGCATGTCGCCCAACTTATCAAATTTCACTAAGCTTTTTGCCCAATGACTACTCTAAGTGTTACACAGTTTTCGAGCGAAATCTTGCAAATAGGACGATTAATCTTTGGAAACATTACTTTTATTGCTATGATGATGTAATATATATATATATTATTACAGCTTGATTCCACACAGTATTTTGGTACAAGTATGAAATTTTCAGCATGTGATATTGGTAGCCCAAATTTAACAGGTGTGTGCGTCGGCGATTGATCGAACCTTGGGCCATGTGCATGGTTGGCGAGAGTCTTAACCGTTGTATATATGCGATTGTACAGCAGTTTTACTTTTTCTGGAGGCTGCTCCTTTTATTTAGCTTATTAGAGATTCTACAGTCACAGTTATGCGTATAAAATATTAAAAGCTTACTTTGCTTCCAGACCAAATATTGCTTTTCGATAAGTGTCGAGCACGTTTGCCTTGAGAGCGTAATTCTCATTTAGAATGTAGGTGTCTTCACTAATTGGATACCGTAACTGTTTCGAAAAGTTAGATAAGACAGTAAAATGTGAATATAATTTTTGAATAACTTGTGAGAATGTGATTAACGGGTAGTCACAGATATCCAAGTGTATACGTATTAAGACGGAGAAGAGGCACATACAGTGTATCAACTAAATATACTGGTCTTATAAACTACTTAAAATTATCTCAGTCTAACTGGACGCTCAAATTATTCTAGGAGGTCCATAACATCTACGGTCTAGTTGCAAATATCCGGGTCTCAGCTTACGTCGAATGCCTTATCATTGGATTTTTATTCATATCATGCTGCATTGTTGGCAACCACTCTGGTGCACTAAACTTGTAAGGCACTGATCACTGGAAGTAACGAGATAAATGGCAGCAATTTCATATTATACTGGCCTTCTTCCTGGACGAATAGTAAATTCTGCTTTCTAAGTCTGTCTTCAGTGTTGTCTTCCAGTGGTCAGTTGTCGGTGATAACCAGTGGTATTTTTAGTTTTCATCGAGTCAGTCAGTCAGTCAGTCAGGAAGAAGTGCTCTCCAGTTTCTCTACTTCATGAAATTGAGAAAATTACTGGACAATTTACACATTTCATTTCACGATTTTGTTTAAATTTAATCATGAAATAAGTATCATCTAATCATCGTAATGCGTGCTGAACAAAATCTACTTTGCATAATCCAAAAGAAGGCGGCTGAGGCGGCCAGAGGAAAAATCAGTTTCCCTTTTGTATACTTACAAGGTTAGACGCATGTACATACGGTGCACAATGAATCAGCACTTGATATTAGCAGTTTTATGGAAATTAACAATTACACCTCCAACTAAGCATTTATATCTTCATTATTATCCGGGAATTTCAAGTACACGTGCTTTATTCCATCACAGATCGTAAGTTAGTATGATTGTCAGTTCGGGTAAACAGTGATCCACTGGAATTTTGAATTGCAGCCAATACATTCATGTCAAACTCAATATACTAAGTAATTTACAAATAAGATAAACTCTGTCGTTGATTTAATATTCCTCAGTGGAACAGGTGTCCCACTGCGATCTACTTATTGAGAATAGTTCATGTTTTAATGAAACTTAGTAGAAAACATGAACCGCCTTGTCTGACTTACTCGATATATGGTAGAAAGATTTTCTTTCTCTTCATATGTTTCCACACCATCGAACAAAGCGAAGGTTTCTATCAACGAAATCTGTAAGTTTTATTTTTGTTAAATTAATTAAATACAATTTCAGTCAAATAAATTCAAACCTTGTCAGCAGCAAAGTTTCTCAATTCGTCACTCAACCATGCCAGCTCTTCAAATGAATCATACAAAGTCTTCTTGATCTCATTAACCATATTGAGAACCTGTGTTTTGAGATGAGTAAAAAAAACACAATAAGTGTAGCATACGAGTTGGATCTGTTACTAAATACGAATTGGTGATGAATACTAATTTTTGTGTGTATCGGTGGTTCACTCTTGAACTGTTCGCCAATCACTCAAGAGATCCAGAGTTCAGTCAATGGCTGAAGCACTCCAGTAGTAGGCCTCAAAAAGAGGGAATTTCAGGAGTGAGGCTAGTAAACTCACCTCGGAAAAACACAACACTACTACTACGTGAACTTAAGAACTCAAACTTGAAGCACTGTATTCCACCGGAAACACATAGGAAATAAAAACAATAATTATTATTATTCCCACAGTCTAGAAAAAATGTCATTTAACTTATTGGCAGAGAATTTTGAGAGGCTGAAAGATGTTAAGCTCATTCTAATGTCCGAGATCCAGCGTATTATGAATTCACAGATGAGTGTTCCACAATCATTCTCACTCACATCATCAGTGTCACTGCTCATCATAGATTATTAATAAATGTTCAAGACAAAACACAACCTTGATAGAGCTAAATGCACACATTTATTCAAGTCCAGTGCTCATAAAGGCGACAGACAATTCTATGATACACTGGCCGGCAACCGATGCAGAACAGGCAAGCAGACCGCAGGTAAGTGAGACCTTAGAACATTATATCACATAACCCGGTCTCCACATGGAAAGAGGTCAATCCAGATGATGAAACCAATAAAAGGTGATCATAAGAACTTGATTAGCAAGGAGAGGAGGTAGATAAAACAATGTGCTGATCACTTTAAACGACTCTTGAATCGACAACCACCGGCAACTCGACCAGAAATACCACCACTACTGACAGCACGCACACAACTGTCGAAGGACATCACTCCCTCAACGAGAGAAGAAATCCTGAATGCCAGGAAGTCTGCAGGACCAGGCCGCGTCCACCTCTTCCTGAAACACCAAAAGCGGACCCAGAGACTGCATCAAATGTGCTCCCACCATTATTGCAAAAGGTTAGGAAGGAAGGAAAGGTGTATATTGATTGGAAGAAGGGTTACTTCGTCAAACTTCCAAAGAAGGGCTAATACGCCTATCTCTGCGAGAACTGACGAGCAATCTCGCTCTTGTCCACAGCAAGTAAAATACTAAGTCACATAATCCTGGAGAGAATAAGAGATGCAATGGATACAGACCTCCGCCCACCTAGAATAAGCTGGATTCGGGAAAGGAAAATTATGTGCTGATCAAATTGCAACAGTACGCATCGTCATCACAGAACAAAGCATAGAATGGCAGTCAAACCTCTACCTCAAACGCACTCATCGACTTCGAAAATGCCTTCGACAGACAACGTTCACCGGGAAGTAATCTGCAGACTACCTCGACACTTTGCGTCACATTGCCCAAGTCTTTATCAACTTCATTCTACAGCTGGTTATATGACGACGACACGTGCCAGGTGATCTACAACGGAAAATCCAGTGAGGCGCTTGAAGTGAATGCAGGGGTAAGAGAAGGCTGCCAGCCCATCATCACCGATGATGATATTCCTAGTTGTGGTGGGATGGATTATGTCAGAGACTGTGGAAAGTGAAAAGACAGCAGAAGCTGGCAGCAAATACAGGACTGCAGGTGAACACAGAGACGACAGAGGTGATGAAGCTCACCAAAGAACCACAACAACATTAACCAATAACAATCACCACCAACGGGAGAGATCTGACAGAAGTTACCTCCTTCACTTATCTAGGAAGCATGGTTTCAACCATAAGCGGATGGCATGGATGAAGATGTCAAAACCAGCCAGATTCGCATAGGCAAGATACGCCTTCATCAACCTGAGACCGGTCAAGAAATCTTCTGCACTGAATCAGTATGAGTAACAAGATTAGGATTTTCAACACAAATATGAAATCATTTCTTCTATACGGGTCGCAAATTTGACCAGCGTGTCACGAAAAGGATTTCCAGCAGGCTACTTCAGACCTATAGCAACAGTTACCTCCTTCGCTGCCTGCATACTGAAGATCAAATGGCCAGCTGGTAGAAAGAATAAGAAACAAGAAATCCTGGCTGGGAATAAGCCAAATAAGATCTTTATTTTCAAAGATATTTCTAAGAAAGTGGAGATGGATCAGGCATACATTGAGGCATGCCTATTGCAGGCCACTGCTCGAGTGGAATCCCTCTGAGAAGCGGCGAGTTGGTCTTCGGTGCTAGAGTGACATGGAAGAGGTCATTTATGTTGCAGGAATCGAGAGAGTATGGGCAATCGCGGACCCAGCTGAGGAGGACAGCAGAGAATGGAACAAAGTGGAGATGTGTTTTTGAAGCTCTGTGTTCCACTCGGAATGCAAAAGAATATTAATATTACATGTGATCGATCAACAGAAAAAGTTATTATGTTAACCTGCCTAGCATGTACCACAAGTGCCTTCCATAAATATGTTTTCAAAGACTGCCTAACTGGTGTCAGCTTGTCAGGTTTTTAATACTACTTTCCTTTCAAAGCCGCTGAATTAAACTCTACACAGGTGTTAATATGTAGATAGATGGCACATTTTCCGAACAACAAACAGTGAATTTTGAAAATGCTCTTAAATTTCAACTGTAGAAAGTCGGCATGTAACAAGGTATCTTCAAGAGGAAGTATAAATGCGCACACTATAAATGGAGAGACCTCACTTATATGCGATATGACAAGTCAGTTTTCGCTTAATTATCTTCTATCATAAAGCTCTTTTTTTCAAACATTCCAACTAAGATGGGGACAGTTTGTCGGCCGAGTAACGAAAGAAGACTATGAGAAGTGTTGGCTAGGAGCGAACCTTCTGAAAGATAGACTGACAGTCGTATGGTAAATGTGAAACAAAGAAACATTTTCTTAAATTCAAATAACGATGTCAGTTGTTGATCAAATCTTCGTGTTACCTGATTAGACTCAACATTAACAGACTGCTTTGGCCATTCATACTTCCTCCTCTTTAAAAGCGCTCCAAGATTGTTCCATACATTGCCCTGGAAAATTACTTTGCTCGTCTTCTCTTACCTATGCATATTTGAAATAGATCCCTTATGAATCCTTATCCATGACAGATATCAGATGGTATCCAATAGGAATTTCTTAACACCCATATGATTCATCACTGCGATTAGCCTTTTCCGTTTCTTAATGGTGTAACCAATCTGCTTTTGTATAAGCAGCCATCTTCGTTTTCTTCAGAATATTTGTGGAGCAGCAAGTTCTTGATTGGTTCGTTCCCAAACTTCCTTGACGATAATTATTTCTGGCCGGCTGTCTGATCTGCAATATGGAACCAGAAAAGGCAGCTTTTGATGAAAATCTGCAGTAACCTGTTAAGTATTCCCCTCATGAATCGCAGAGCAAGTTTCTGATGCAAGAAGAAGAAGTGACTCCCTGACTGATATAACAATGGTGCTGAAAATATGAATTTCGTCCTTCATGCTGTGGAGAGTAGCAGATTTCCAAACTGATTTTAGATTGATGAAGGTTGTGCTTCGCCATTTCAGTGGTTGCTCTGACACTTCATCCGTTCCGTCTCTCGATGAAACAATCCTTCATACATTTGTTCCCCTTAATGAATTTGAACAAAGCAACAACTACAGATTTAGCAGAATATAATGGTACCATATTTTATTTCGTCGCCTTCTCTTCAGCTGCTTACAGGGCAATCCTTCCTAGACACGTGAAGGCAGCGAACTCCCTCAAATTTCTCTCGTTGTTACTGACTGGTGCTCGTTGCTGTTGGTTGATTATCTTCTTCACCTTCGCCTTCTCCATGTCCACTTGAAACCATATCTTTGATACTGCTTCTGCCATTTAGTTGGTTTTCTCCTGTAGAGCTTCTAGTTCGTTTGACATTAGACATAAGTCATCCAAGAAGTTCTTATCATTATGTCAGCCCAAAGTATTCTTGTCTTCTAGCTCTTTACTCACCAACTCTTGCACAATCCAGTGAGACACAGTTGGGAGTATAACCGGTTATAGCAGTCAGCTTTATCTTTATACCGTCTTTACTTCACAGCCTTCGGTGACTTTTCCATCAGCGATCACTTGACATGTGACAATAAATAATTAAGAGGGTTAATTGGAAACTTTAAACTTATTCCTCCCAATATTTATGGACAGAAAAGCCTTATTTCCGCCTACTTGTTATAAGTACTCATTGTCATGATGCTTTTTATTAGGTGGGAAAATAATTTCGAAAACTGTGGCTCAAATAGATGCAAAAAGCAACTAAAAATGAATTCAACAACTAACCTCATTTCTCTGACTTTCTTTTAAGTACTGAGCAACGTAATGTCTTTCAAGAGTCCACGGAAATGCTTCTTTCAACCGCTCGATACAAAACACTGAGAATTTCGGACTCAGCCCTAATCAGAATAAAAAACAAGACACAGAAATGTTTTGAAACATACACCAAATTGAAACACGTTAGGCGAATGACTTTTAACGAACAAGTCAGTAAGATATCACACATGCACCATCGACTTCTACCACAACATGTTTCAAGAATAATGTACACAAATCAATCCTAAAATAAATGACATCTTCACTGAAAAGGTGATTTACTTCATTCATCAACAGATGTAAACCATAGTCGTAACGTACGTGGGTCCATCTCAGGATTTGCACTTTCTGAACTTTTTTTCACAGATTCATTAGTGGTATCCTGATATGTCATGAAGTCCATGACAGCCATATTCTGAATTGCACTGTCGAAAAGGAATAAAAGTAAATATTGGGATTCAGTTTCAGCTGTACACTTCACAAGGGTATTGCATATAACTTCAAATATCGTATGCTTCTTTCTTTGAACAGCGGAAAAGTATGTGACGAAGTCAAGAATATCTCGACTTGTCAGTGTGTGCATGGAAAGTGGTTGAACATCCTGGAATAATACAGAAGATATCAAGTCGGAATGATTTTGTTGAGACGTATTTATCTTTGACTCATTAATCGGAGTTGATGTTCCATGGTTATACGACGTTTCGTTATGCTACTAGTTACGTAATGATGAGTAGTATCAGACAAGTGCGAAACAGCTGTCCAGGTTTTCTATGCTTCTCTAAAAGATATTAGTCCGTGACTGAATTCAGAATATTTTAACATATTTCTATTGTCTTCAGACAAAACAAGTTTTTAATTCACTTTACAGTAAGAGGAGAAGCCACACTGTGTCCAGTAGAGCATATCTTAACAAAATATGTCTTCAACCCTGTTCAGTAGAAGCAATGTGAAGCTTACCTTTTACCAGTAGGCGTTAACAGTTCAATTTCATGTAAGGCACACTGATGTTTCAGCGCTGTTGTGTCCGCTATACTTATTGAAAATTTGCTGTAACTTCTGGATCCAGTTGGTCGAAACAATTTTGCAAACAACGTTTTCCAATCAATCTTAACATGAATGTAGAAGAAAAACAAACACTTGATGAATTCAGCAGAATTAATGAAAATGATGTAAAATTTGACGGAAGACTAGTGAATATAAATTGAAGCAATGTTAAGTCGCACAAGGAAATTGAAAGCAAGGTTTCGTCAGCCTAAGTTTGATTTAAGATTAGACAGTTTATCTTGTTTCATCGCTAAACAAGGCTGCTAGACTGACAGTGTTCTAGGAAATATTCAAAGAATACCGTATTCCGAAAAAGATGGTCTCCGAGTTGAAATTCTTCTAAACCGCTTTCCTTATCAGTTTAGACAAGAATTGTGGTGCTATGACATTAAAGAAACAACTATGCACTGTTTCTCAGATTACTGAATTCATTTACTGACCTAATTTTTTGCAGATCCATCTCTCTCTTCCTTTCAAGCAATATTATTCTGCACAGTTGAATGAAGGTTCTCCTACAACTGAGGTGTTTTCATCAACTATGTGACTACTAAGTGCAGGATACTTTGACTGTTTCCATTATGCATTCTGTCCTAACATTGGCTTATCTGTTTTGAATTTTCGGTGTAGTTTATTTCGATTTCTTTTACTGAAGGCATTATATGCTATCTGAAGTTATTTGAAATAGTGAAACGTGTTTAGATGAGTTGGGATTCCTCAGAATCACATAATCTAGAATCTCAAAATCGAAACATGCCACCTGCGTGACACCGTTACAGGCATAAATAATTTAAGAAACAGAAACTGACCAATGTAAATAGCTTGACAGCACATACATGTCACTCAAGATTGCTGGCCAGTCTGTCTGGTGTTTATTATTCCCTTAAAATCAGATAGTCAGCAATGATAGTTGACCCAATTTCGAGTAAATCTGAAATTTCTCTACTTGGAGTACTTTATCGCTTTGCATGCTTTAAGAGGACTGTGTACTGAAACATGTAAATGTCATATACCTAAGTGTAACTATGCATTTCAGTATACGCATGTTACACTGGCTGCACGAATCTCAGTTCACCATTCACTCGGTTCAATTTGATATCCACATTCGCAAAATTCAGATCATCTGATGCTAGAAGTCTATACAGTTTGTAAAATGAATGCCTCGTTATATATTTTCATGCAGCTAATCTCTTGTAAGACGGACTCAGAAATTCACAATGTTAATTTCAATGTTTCTGTCTACAAATGACCTCAACCATGACATTCCTACCTAATGAGTTGGCATTGTGAAATATAGAAAAATCAAAGTAAGTACATTGAAATACAGGAAATGTATAAATTGGCTGTACCTACTTACCAATGGACAGATTGACTTCAATTCATTTATTTCTACCACTTTACTGTAGTCGGTAAGGTCAGATTTCCTCGCAAAATACAGATTCTGGAAAATTATTAGAAATATCGATGAAATCAAATTATGTTTCCTTGATAGAAGAATGAATAGCTTAGCAGTGAAGGCAATGAAACGAAATCTCTTACTTCACTATCATTTCAGAATACGTATACAAACAGAATTTGAGAGGATCCCCCCACGGTGTTTTCTGTTGTTCGCAATGCACTTTTTCATTTCAGTAGTGTTTGATGTGACTATGATGGGATTAAATGAGGTATGATACTCCACTTGCTTCATAATCGTTGAATACTCTTCGTTTTCAGCATTCATGGAATAAATACATTGATCAACTCATGTATTCCATGGCGATTTTCTGTCACACTGCACTTGAATGTTAAGTGATGCTAACTTCCTTCACCATTTACTTGTGGATACAAACATTCTGTGACTAGACTTTGTTGGCGTTAACGCTCCGACATTAATAAGAGTATCACATTGAAAATAAATTTAATTTCTCTTATTTGAAAGGTGTAATGATGAAATGTGTCATGATGAAGCTACCACTGTTTTGAAGTAGAATATGGCCATACAAGGACTCGATTCAAGCAAATTCTTCTTTGCATCTAGGAAATGCAGGTGTCATTTTGTTTGCCAACACATTAAATTTAAGCAGAGCTTATAGAAAATATCATGAGCTCACGTAGTGAATCTCATGTCTGTTGACACGCACAACCTTCTATCTGAAATCCTGATCAGTGATAATTCACAATTGGGTTGCATGACTTGGTCTGGTGGTCAGAATGCACAGAATACCGATAGACGTAAACAAGGGCACTCAGGACTAAATCGGAAATTCGATTGATGATTTATTTACTTCATAGTGAGTTTAGACATTCATCACACTGCTATTTTTTGAGCTAAACAACTTGCATTTTAATCGAATATGCAATCGTATATACTACCAACTGAAATTCACATTCTATACAAAATTTCATTGTCACCATGCATAGCTATGTTAATGTTGCAGGGTTAACAGAAAACTTACATGGCACAAGCGTGTGTGCAATTCAAAAGCAGCCTGCAACTTGCTCTTCTCGGTTGGAGATACTCCCAGTTTATACGCATATTCGTAATACTTTGGAGCGATATTTGAAGCATTCACCTGTTCAGAGAAAATGTTATGAATGAAAATATTCAGGAATTCTTATACCATGTGAAATGAAGAACACCAGGGAAAACTATTCTCTTGTAATTTCAAGGCATTTTCGTAAGAGACACACAGAAATGCTGGTTGACAAACCAACTCTGGGAAGTTATTTATTTTTTTTTGAATTTGGTTTGATTCAACACTGTATTTTCTGTACAAGTATGAGATTTTCAGCATGTGATTTCAGTAGCCCAAATTCTGCAGGCCGACCAATGATTTCAGGTGTACGTCGGCAGGGGATTGAACCTCGGACCATGTGCATGGCCGGCTAGAGTCCTAACCGCTGTGCCACAGACACGTATCTATGTGTATGACACTACAAAATCTATATTCTTCTGATATTTCATACTGAAATGAGTAAAAGTGGTTATATCTGAAGGAGGCCTGTCTGAATCACTGGATTAGCTAAATTTACTATCCATCAAATTGAATTGTACTCGCTCCGCTTCATAATGTTTTACTCATTCAATTATCACAAAGAGTTGAAGTCTATGCTCATGTACAATTTCAAGCAAGTTCTCGCCAATCTCTGCGGATTCTTTTTGTAGGAAATGAAAGAATGGTGTCATGGATTTGTACCAGAGTATGCTTCGGGTGGGACGATACAGCTTCAGATTTCATATTATCGGTTATTGTATTATTTGAAGATTCTGCACAAGGAGTAAATACCTTTCCATGAAAGGTGTTGAGGATTCTGTATTGTGTCAAAATGCACTTTTCAGAATGAAGCCATTACCATTTCAATTGTATTGTATCTATCATTATGGTCAAAGGAACTCGTAGTTTCCGAGGAATAAATACACTGTGTTCAGTGAAATTTTAATTTATTCTCTTTAGCATGTACAGTTACGTTTATGATATGTGTATAATGAGTCGACAGATTTCACTGGTTTTAAAGATGTGTGATTACGTTGGTAATTCTGGTAAATTGATAAGTATGTCATTTGAAGCAAAAGTGTGTACTTCTTCAAACAATGAGTACTCTAACTACTGTGATGTGCGCAACTAAGTGAAGTAAGTGCATCACAATTTCAAGGATTCCTTCATTGATGCATGCATCTCAGTGACTTCTTTCATTTCAACTTGGTAATCACATTGACAGACCAGATTAATTTGGAGAAATGAAAATTCCACTTGAAAATGAGTATGAATTCACTTGTGATAAAATGCTACATTTCATCTACTTTTGCTGCAGTAGCAACTTTACGGTGTGACTGACAAAAGTATTCATTTCATCGTTTTCGATTAAGCTTGGATATTATAGCGTAAGTCGTCTGAAGTTAACTAGCGTAAATTCATGTAGACCGAGTCAGACATCACCAGATTCCTGTGAGGAATTTGAAATCTAATGTTTTCAGCATTTTATGAAATGTTCGAGAGCAATCAATGTTGAACCTCAGAAATGTCCAGACCACAAGATGATGAGCCATTTGCCTTCCATATTGGAGATTACTCTGACTTGTCATCTCAAGTCATCTGGTGTAAGTCAAGTCATTCAGTGTCATCGAAGTAATTTAGACATCATTTTATTCACAGTCAGTAGGCGAGAGTGACTAAAGAGTGGATTTCATCTGAAAGTAATCACAAAATGTTCAATTTGCAAAGTGACGAGTATTCGGACCAATCAATAACACTGGTTGCTACATTATTATTAAACTTTGACTTTTTTGCACAAAAATGATATTCTTCTTCCTATTTGATTAGTATTCATAGAATTAAAGAACATTTTTGGAATTACCTCTGTTTCACAAGCGTCCTTATACGAAGCGAATTTTCCATCTGAAATCTAAAGCAACCAGTATTTTAAAGAATATTCTTTTTCACAGCTGCTATGGCATGCATCAGAATTAATTAAACTGACAATAGTAGCATGTAGGAAAGAAATAAATTCTCTTAGGCACATCAAAACTCTAACTTTGACTATTGTTTTTCTGAAAGTTGTGCCTATGCCCAGCTTCGCTTTGACTTCATCGACTCACCCCTGAAACACCTTCCGTCTTCTGAAAAGTGACAAATTTAATTTCTAAAGATGTTTATAGACTCAGTTAATGACGAGATCCTGTTCAATTATACAGTATGTAGAATTCCGCCAAAATACTAATTTGTACCAGGCGAACTCTTTTTCTTCAGGTGAATTAGGGACAGTTTCTGTTATTGGCATTTGCCTGTGTGAAAGACTAAATTTTTCAAAAAACTTCTATGCGGATTGTGGTAATAATTCTCGGACAAATCAATTTCTATAGACTTTCTTTTGTTTAATCTTGGACCTTCTGTGTATAAGGCAAGCAAATGTGAGTTCTCAGTGGTGCTTGTGAATTTTAATGTCTGCTGTTAATTGACATCATGACATCTTTTCAAATATGTAAACAATTTCCGTGATCGGTGAAGAGAAACCAATGAATTAAACGATGACACCAAATTACCCCAAACTGCTCAATTAGCAGTCAACGTTTTTAATCCAACCTTGATGTTCAATTAACTGAATAAAAATGATGAAACTGCACTTCCAGTCACCATTTCTTTATCATTGTAATTCACTATCATTTTTATCCAACAGAGGAAATTCAAACACCGAGAGTGAGAGATCTGTGTCGGCATATGGAATCCACAATAAATTTCCATCAGTCGGAAGAGAGCATTCTGCATAGAAAGATACTGTGGTGAAGGGTGACTTAATAATAATTGCCATCAGCCCTACACTGCAGACGTCTGCTAATACATGGCAACAACATTTGAATATAAAGCTTCCACCGGAACTCTTCAGTATTTCTTAATCTACAGTTCTTTCTTATACCCTAACAATCAACAATAGATGCAGACCTATCGTGTGTGCCTTTGCGCACCATAAATATAGCAGGGGAAAATAGCTCTGAATTGGCAAGTAGATTAAATTCTCACTCTTCTCAAGTTGATGTATCATCATGAAATACCAAATTAGTATTATTCATTTAGCTTGCTTACCTGAATAATTTTGCTTTCCGCATTAATATCAATGGAAAATAAAGGACAGCCTCCTGTTATGCTCAGAATTGGAAAGTATAAATCACTTAAACTGAAATCGTCAACTTTTTGTTCTTGCGTTGATGTTTTCAACTGTTTTTGCGAAGAAGATGGCAACAAATCCCACCCGCCAAATGATTTTTCTATCAAATGAGTTGTCTCTCTTCTAGTCTGCTGGAGAGAAATATCCCCATGGTTCACACAGGATTTGTAGAATTTACGAGCAGTAGTCAACCGAGTATCGTTCGTGGAATACGACCCGTTAGCTATGTGGTAATATGAAACAGGAAATCATATCAGTGTGTAATTGATATTAGTTGACAAAACAATCCGAAACTGTTAAATAAATCAAACGCATACACTTCATCACATTACTGCAGTGACCTCAGCCTAGCACATACAAACACTTGCATGACAAACTAGTCTGACTATCACCAAATGATTCACATATTCCAACTAGATTTGAATTATTGATCGTACTGATCACTTTCATGTGCAAAGTCGTATATAGTGTTTTAGAGAAATCATCAAAACTCTACGTTAGCAAAGAGCGTATTTTCCAATTACCATGGTGGATATATATTATCTACATAAGTGATGGTATCTGAAAATGACAGTGAACAAAAGTTGATTTTTCACGTGTTTCCCACTTGCTCTGTCAAAACAGAGACATAAGTGAAGGGTGATACTTCAAAAAATTCACTTAATTACCAAATTTTTCGTCGCACCAATTGCTGACATCGATTCCGTCATTCACAATGTGTCTCCATATATTTTACCGAATGCAGACAATGATAACTAAATTCATGAAATCAACAGAAACATTTTCATAAAAATGAATAATATCGACTCATTGAGATAAGTAGCTGAGCACCACTCACATCACCCAGTGGTGACTGGTGATCTGAGCACCAGACAGTATTCTTGCTCATTTGTGGACGAAGTAGTTTGCAATTAGCGAGTTTGATTTGAGATATTGCTAGTTCGAGAAATTAGTTGGCTTGAACTGATACGCTCTCTGAGCTGAGGCAAACACTCCCTCTCTTTCCGGGCTTGGAGCAGGCTAGAAAACTATTGGGCTAGTTAACTAGGCGAAGTTAGTATATAGTTGGTTCTATGCATTTATGCTTTCGTTGCTGATTACATTTTATGGTGTTGTGGTAAGAGCTGTCTGCTATCCAAAATTGGTAGACAGCATATACTGTGATGTGAAGGACTTTAATGTCCAGCGGTGAATTCGGACTCGTCTACCGACACTTTAAGAAGTATATCAAATCACTTTGACAAATTTTCTTGTCCACAGATGCTGACGGTTCACTACCTATATATATATATAAAACACGTCAACTGAAATTCTGTCACAATGTGATGTAAAGAAATTATTTCCACTGACTTAAACTAAAAAAGCTGTTTGACGTCAGACTGAAACAGCAACCTCTGTGGTATGGTAGTTCGTTAGAAACTTATTCTTCATATTTACATCATCACAGTTGTGATACGATAGTGAAAAGTTGACGTTAGCTTACAAACAATTCTCAGAAAATCAGTTAATTCATAAAGATGTTACTTCTTCTGTTGGACAAAGCGTACTTTGATATGTGCCCGTCAAAATCATTCAACAAACATGTCTCCACACTCTACTGAAGATTATATGACCCACCAAGAAGGATTAGAAACAAAGAACTCTGGCAGGCAACGATCCAACAAATAATCACTGAACCAATGTGCAAAAGAAAATAAAGATGCACTGGTTACACACTGTGAAGATGTTCGGTTGAAAAAGCTCTCCGAAAAGGTTGTCGAGTATAACATGTTTATGGATAGATGAGATATATATGTGCTACTGCAGCACTGTATTCTCCTTGGAATCCATGAGATTAATAATATCACGATTATAGGTTCAGTACGAAATACATTTTCCTTACCAATGATTTTCCAGATGTCACGAAGTGTCTTCTCTGTGATTTGCGAAATCGCCGTTATTTCCAAATCGCCTTCCGGAATGGCGTGATTATTTTCCCAATCAGAGCAGGCATATTTATAGAAGTCATTACATGGGTCGATGAGACTAGAAGCGTTTGTAAGGTTATAACTCTGTCGCACAGAGACGGCTACAAAGGAGAAATATACACACTAGCATGAGAGTAAAGGCGGAATGCAAACAAAAAGAAAGGAGAGCAGAGAAGAAAGGAATTATGGACTAAGAAATGTACAAAGAAACCCCAAAAAATGTCAGCTGAACTCTCAAAGGTGAATCAGTTGGTGTCATCCATCGATGGGTCGACATACTTGTTGATAATCGGTTCATGCTTGCAACCTCACCATATCTAAAAGGCGCACCACTGAAATCTATCACAACTGAATTTACTGCTTCCATGTAGTCTACACTTAAAAATCACTATAAAACGATGCAGTCATCACCTCACAGAGAATGTTTCACAACACACGCATTGAAAACACGTCAGCTATGGAAAGATATTTCAGGCAATTCAAGTGCACAGGATAGTTATACACTCGGATGACTGCCGCCCTTTTTGGAGTAAATTGCTGACTTTTCTCATCAATGTACTTGTCTGTTGCCATCCATTCCTCTTCATGTCTCTTCTTTCTTTCTAGAACAGTTGTACATGTTTCCTTGAACATCAACTTCGAAGGGTTCCAATCTTCTTCCAAACAGGTTTCCTCGAAATATATATATATATGCGATTATACAGCTAAGCAAACCAACATTTCACAGAGAAGAGTTTCTTTATTCAACTGCTTTTCTCGCAGATCAACGTTGAAACACAATCAATTGAATATTTCTCACATACATTTCGAGTAGAAACGAAGATATGCCTAAACAGTCTGAGAATATGCAGAGAGGATTCCCTAAACGGGGTGTAAAACAAATAAGAATTGTGTGTCCACTGTGAAAGCATAATGGTGTCTGTTTTCAAAGAACATTAAACCATCGCTTTCTAAAACTCTTATCAAACTATATATTTCGTACGCTTATCCTGTTATTATGAATTCGGGTAATGCAGCGATAACGTTTTTGTTCGCCTATTGTCAGCTGCGTACAACCTGAAGTAAATACTAAGTTTATGTATGGAACAATTCCAAATCACTTGCAAATTTTGCATGATGCCTGTTGACAAGAGACTCTCAACTTAATAAACAGCTCTCAAAAATTGCATTTATGCAGCTGATATCCAGAGAGTTCAAGTTTAAACAAGAATGAATGCTTGGACTAAATGGTGAGAGTTAGGCAGACAAGACAAGAGGTGAGTAAGATGATGAGCAACTAATAAATTGAGTAGTAATGTGCTGAGTTCAACTCAAATCTCAGAAACAAGAGACAAACAGAGTTACGCTCTATCAAAGGGAGGAGAGGTTAGAGCCAGAGATTATGTGATCGAATGAAAGTGATTATAAAGACATCACGTTACCAAAGCAAGCAAGGACTGACAACTGTTTCCTTCTGAATACACATAAACCAGGTTTCTGGCGTCTTATGATGATTGCTTTGACAAACTTGATGAGAATTGAACTATTTGGTCTACTGACAATGTTAAAGAATCTCCAGATGTCCATCTTACGACCTTGGTCAATGAGATGCTTGCAGTAACACTACCGAAAGTGTTTGTTTGAAGGTGTTAGTTACTCATCATGGCTTCCACCTCTTCTCTTGATTACCAAACACTTGGCCATTGTATCACCATTTATTTTTGTTTGAAAATGAACTAAGTATCGGCCGAAAACATTTATTTAGTTTATTTAGTTTGAAGTATTCTGTCAACAGGCATCATGTAACATTTGCAGGTCTGCCGAAACTGTTGTGTGTATAAACCTGGGAATTTCTTTAGATTGTACACAGTTAATGGCAGGTCAACGAAATAAGCGACAATACCATTCAATTCGACATAAACTCTTCTTAATTTATTTGAAAATGCACAAATTGTGCTATTCATATCGTCAAAGTTAGAACTAGAACGTACTCTGCGATTTTCGTGATACAAGATCGTAGTGTTCTTTTGTCGCTAATGTAAAAATAAAATACATGATTGTGAAGCGATAGCCCAATTAAGTTATGAGGACGAATCTGTCTTATGGACAACGTTGTTTAAACTACAGGTGGCATGGATAAGGAAGCTGAAGTCAAATATTTATTACTTTGGAAACAGTTTAGAAATTTATAGCTGTCAGTAAAACCGAACAAGTTTTGAGTTTTTAACAATGATACGAAACCGATTCTCCCATATGTTTGAGAGATATGGTGAGTGCTTCTTCAAAAGCAATTCAAATAGCCTGTTGCAAGCGTTCATCAGCACCTATCTACATCCATGATGAAGATCGGATGGCTCACCAGAACGAAAAGTAAGAAGGTACTCTTACACTGTGTTAGTTAACAACTTATTATCCAACAGATATAAAGAAAGAAATGGAAGTGGGCTGAAGATATTCAGAGGAGACTGACGAGCGACATCATAGGTGAAGAAGGACCTTCAATAATAATAATTTTTGCTTTATTCCAAAAACGTTACTAATGATACAGCAAGGAATTTTGGCATCCAGTTCAATATTGCATCTAATTTACTAAAAACGGTAAAAAATAAACATTACGTAATAACAATAACAAAACGTTGTTATAGCAGCTATGCAGCAATTACAGTATGCGATAATGAGAAAAATATGCATAAAGTATAAAATTGTAGTAATAATCGTAATAACAACTAAAATGAAATAGCTAAGTTATAATTAAATGATAGAAACGGTGACACCATAAAATTACAGAAAGATGAACGATGAAAGGGTCGATTCACTTTGCTAATTGCATAGTAACATATGTTTCACGTCTAACAGTGTTTCCATCACATAAAATACAGTCTAAATAGGGTATTGTAGAATTTTTTTTACTTAGTGGTTCGAGCATATAACTTCTTATATTGACTTTTCGTCCTACTTGAAAATATGGAAGGAGATAGTTGTGAATAAATGGAGGGGAGCAATTGGTCTGAGAGTACGGCCTATGCCCATTTTGTACAGGATTTTATATGTCTCTTGACTATAATATTGGCGAGCTCACGCAGTGGCATACCACAAGACCTACTCACAGCATTTAATACCCTTCGTAATATGATATAGTTTTTTTGAGAAGCCCAGGAAAGGTTAATGGAGAGTAATAGAATACAATAGGTAAAATACGGGAGCATACAAACTGCTGAAGTAAACGTTTGTTGATAACTGGGTGTCCTAACTTTTAATATGGAAGGTGAGACGAAACATTTTCTTAGAGACTGATAAGATATGGGATGACTATGAAAGGTCAGAGGAAAGAACTAATCCAAGGTATTCGATGCTTGACTTGGTGTCAATTTTAGTGCCATCTGTGCTACAGGCATCATGGGAACTAACTAGTTCATGTATGTCACGTCGATGCTTGAGAGTGAAGTTAACTGCTGAAGTTAATGCAAGCTGAATAGGGAACTACGAGTCAGGCGTCCAAAAGTGACATTCAGTGGACTATATGAAAGGAAAACGAGAACTTGTGGACCATACTGGAGCTAATGTCAGTAAAACGTTTAAGCATTGTGGAATAGATCAAATAAAGTATAATTATATTTCAGTTATATTTCAAAACAATTCCAAAAGTGGTGTGAACACGGGCAGCAATTTCGCTCGAAATATTACCAAAAACAAAACTTATCATTGTGTGTAAACTATTGAAATATAATTATACTTTATTTGATACTGGAGCTAGTGGAAATTGACTACAGAGAATAGCGTGAAATAGAGATATGCTGGTGACATCTTATGTTTCATTCAAAAGGTAGGCTATAAATTATAATAAAAAACTTGTCGCCAACCGAATAAAATATTCCTTCAAAACAAAACTGATTATTAGACTGGATACCTCACATACTGTTGCGTATCATGAATTATCGGTGAATATGCGTCGATGGCAAAGTGGTTAGGACGCTCGCCGACCATGCACATGGTCCGGGGTTCGATCCCCGGCCGACTGACTCCTTTACCTCGCTGAGCCAGAAATAATGCTGGTGAAGAGGAAAGGTTGGGCATGAGGCTAGCAACCCCATTGTGTAAAATAAACACTGCCAAAGAAACTTAAAGCCACTAGCTTGAAGCTCTGTGTTCCACTGGGGAACATGAAGGAAAAAAGATTTAAAACCAATCATTATGCAAAAACAATCAGTAGAAGATGACCTGGACTTCACCATTTATTAATTTCAAACATCACATGAATTCGAAGACTTAGATGAGAAAACGAACCAGTTGACAGAAGACGATGTAAGCAAAGACATGACTTCAAGTAAACACAGAGAAGACGGAGTTAATGAAGATAAGCAAATAACAGCGACATCAACAACAAACAGCACCGATCACTATTCACCGGAGAAATTTGAAAGAGGTCACTGTCTTCCCTTATCTAGGAAGCACCCTTTCAACTACAAGACAACAGAGGGAAATGAAAGCCAGTGAGCAATCATGGAGCTAACTGAAGATGAATGCAGAGAACAGTTCAAAGCTCTGTGCTCCACTTAGTATCTAAGAGAATAATAATAAATAATGATAGTGATTGAAGAAAAAAACCGTATTGGATGTTTGACATAGTATATTTTCATCTAAACAATTCGCCAGAAAGCTTTGTTTCACTTTATTACTATCCTCAGAAAAGAAAAAGTGCATTTAACTGGTCACTCCATCAGGGTTGATAACAATAAAGCAACCATATTTCGCTAATCCACGAAACAGGTCACTCTTTCGATATGTGACCTCGCCTTATTATGCTTATAAAGACAGCTTGAGTTTTCAAAGTTGTCAGTACATCGTACCATTTTCCTTTTCAACTACAATTCCAAAATATACCACAGATATGAAAGTATCATCACCAGAGGTTAATTGCATCTGAGGTAAAATGTAGCCTAGATTTACTGCATACCATGAATTGCTTCTTAGCTAACAAAACAGTTATCAAAACCAACTAATTCCCCTAAGGTTTCACAATGTAATCTGTTGTTCTGATTCGATGACTGCTCATGAGTAAACTTTGTCAGAAAGTCGTGATACTCACTAACAGCACGGTAATGAAAAACTGTTAACATGTTTTCCACAAATCAACATAACTTAAATTGCATCAGTTTTCAGGGTAAATGCGATGTCTCCCACTAAGAAGGACAGTTTGACCATCAAACTGGTATTTATATAGATTTATAACACAGAAATAGGATCTTTAAAAAGGTGGCTGTATACTACCTCATTTTGCCAAATCATATTGCTTGTTCAGAAGTGTTGACAAGAAATCACAAGTATAAACTAATAGATAAGGATGTTTGTTGCATATTATGCATATCACATGTCCTACTAGTAATCAGATGCTTAACACTTAGACGTTTGATATTTTGGATGCTATACTCAACTCATATCGGGAGTGCCATCACTCATTGAGGTATGTGTCGGGTAATTTTATAAAACATCTAAAGGAATGCACAAGATGATGAAAGGAAATAAGTACAACGGTTAATTTGTTACTGTTAATTCCTGTGACTGTTGTAAAATTGATGATAGTGATAGAGAAATCAAGTCTGACCTTAAATATCTTGGACTAATTATTTCTTCCGATGTATCCTGGTTTTCACATGTCTTAGCGATCTCTAAAGAAATATCCCATTTGACATTTTACACTGGGAAGTTAAGTCACTCAGGCATAACTCAACTCTTCCTCTAACAGTTTTCAACTCGGGCATCTTGCCATTCTTCTTTAATTCTTAACTTCATGCAATAAATTTGCTAAACGGATTTTGTCAGACTGTGAGTATTCACTGTACCCACAGGTCTCACCTTGCGAATCCTCAGGCGAGGCACCTGTATCATAAGTGCTGTTTTCGGAATAAAGCTGATTATTATTATAACTATTTCCTTGGGATTCGAGTAGAACATAGGACTTCAACAGAACACCATCATTCCACTCTGTCCTCTGCAATACTTTTCAGCTGACTCCACGATTACCAAAAGACTCTCATATCTACATGACACGATCTCTTCCATGTCACCTTTGTCGTTTCCTATTCATCTCCCACTGGAAGGCCTGTCTACAGTATGATTTCACAGATGATCTCATCACCGTAAGTCCAAAACATCTGTATTTCCTTTGACATTTCGTTTTAGTCAACACATCACTGATTGATTCATTGCCAGAATTTCATGTTCCTGAACCTTTCTGGAAGGAAGGCGACTGACGATGTAATTCTGCACAAGCTTGTTAGAAATGCTTCCAATGACGCACATGCCAAGTCTCTGAACCATATTCAAGCAGTGACTTACTTGAAATTAGTGCTGAAAATCTAAATTTTGTTCTTTATGCTTAGGAAAGTAAATTTATCCACTGACTGAATTCACGGTAACGAAGGTCTGTCTTGCTTTCCCGATCCTGACTGGTTTCGACATAATTGTCTGTGTCCCCGTATATATTAATCATTGCTGCTTTGATGACGTCCGTTAGAGTTCTCCTATTGATGTTGATCGGTGTTGAAAGTCTGGTCAACTATTTTCTTTAAATCAATATTACTTAAAATTGCGTCAGTTTAAAAAAAATAAGTCTAATATCCCTCACTAAGAAGGACAGTTCAACAATGAAAACAATTTGGACAACACGGGAATAATATTTTAATACTCTGTAAAGATAATTCCTTTCCACCAGGATATTGTCAAATTATGCCCATCAATGTTGTAATTAACTCACGTGATTCCGGTTTAAATTGAAAGTAGATAATCAATACAACGAAGGTGATAACCGCTGCAGAAGAGAAGAACACAAGTGGAAATAAACAGGATTTATTTTTGATATTTTTAATCTGCGATATGGAAAATTGAACCATTTTGAGTTAACACTCAGTGTGTTGGTTAACTGAGAAAAAGCAGAAGTCTAAGCATGGAATTTGCTCAATATTATGTATATATACGCTCATACAGACATTTTGTTGTGCTGACACAACCACTGTACCGTATAAGTGGTTGGATAAAATAAATAACTAAAGTTGACTATTGATTACAAGCATAGTGTCACAAGTGTATCTTAGTGTACAAAGGAAACAACATACCATAATATTCATCAGATCTTAAGACGTGATGATGATAATAATAGTAGTTTACGTTGTTTTCTTAAGACTGCTTTTCATAACTGAGAAATACTCAGATTTACTCAGTTGGAACTACCTATTCCAAATGATAATTAAAACTAAAGAAATAAAGAAGTAAAACAGCCATATGTAAGTCATAAGATAAATATGTGTAATCTCTAGACAAGTAATCTCATCTAATGGCGTGTATCACCTCCGCAATCACAATCACATACCACATACCATATACTAAAAGTACTCAATGTGTGAGCAGTTTCTTTAAATATCCAAAGAATTCATTTTCTTATGGTTAGTTGTATGATGAAATTTTGGATTTAGTGAGTGAGTGAGTAAGTTAAAGGAGTGTGGCTCTTTGTGGTTAGCCAACACAATATTGTTCTGATCACATAGTTAAAATAAAATAACGATTTAAAAGATAGATTAGAGAAACAAATAATATTGGATTCGATAACTTCTTCATCAGGTTTCACTGTTGTATATCCTCATTAATTGTCGAAGGATTATTGATATTAACACCGTCAACGCTGTTTCAAATTACACTGCATTAACAGCAACAATGGATGATTACAACTCAAAAGCATCAATAAAAAAGAGATAATAAGCATTAATATAAAAACACCGAACTGAATATCAGATATATTAGGGGAAGTAACACAGAATTTTTGAATTTATAAGTTCAATAACAGACCAGGGTGGCAATAATGGCTCACTGACGCCTTGTTTGCACACAGAGCTCCAGTTGACTTGAGCGAATCGCAATAACCTCTATAATATTTGGCGTATTCGGTATCTAGAAGCCTTAGATAACTTATTCCATACAAGATAGATGATAGAGAAAGATTCTTAAATGTTAGCTTTGCGGCGTATTCGGATGAAGTTGATCTTACAAATATATAACTGTCGATAGTTTTACCAACACCTTTATTTAGGCAGAACACTGGTGGGTGTTCCCGAGGGGGCGAAATGACGTTCCTAGAGCAATGTCCAGTATAACTCGCTATGCACGAGCAGTTGAACTGATTGATACAATATAGGTTAACTAGCCTAAGTAGGTACTCCACCTTTCAGTCCTGGCATCACAACCAGTCGTGTGGAAAATATGAGCTGGAGCTTACCGGCACTAAAAGTTCTTGGAATCAGTTTTCTCAAATTGTTGGTTATTACTTCTCTTGCCATATCACCTTCGAATTGTAGTCTTGTATATACAGAGGCTTCTTCTTGACACATATACAAGAATGTTTCTCTATTCTCTTGGCCATTCTACTCTCTAGATATCCAGTTTAGTCTTATATTGATGCATATTCTCTCTTACATTACGCCTCTGAACTGTAACCTGTAAATCTGACTGCTTCATTAATGCTGTTAATAGCGATAATCTTTTGATAGTTATTATAGATATATACCCTTAGAACGTCAAGAAGAAGAAGAAGTTATAGAAATAAGTAAACACTGTTCAACAATTTGTCTCTTAAATTTTCAATGGGCATATTCACTCAACTAAAATTATGATTGGTTATCTTGATTTACCGTGTGCCTACAGTACTGTGGAAATATTTGTTGAATTTAGCGTTTATTTGTATTTGTGTCACAAGTGTACATCAAAATAATAATTATTCATCTATGATTATAATTTCAGCTTATAGCTATAAACCACGTTAACTAATTTGATTTTGTCATTCTGTTTTCCATTGTCTTTCTTTAGCTGCCAACACGACTGCCTACAAGCCGTCATTTCACCTCTACATGATCTACTCGATGTGACAGTCGAAACCACACTTAACTAGCAGTTTTTTTATTTGTGGTACTGCTGTGTGATGTCACTCAGTTGTTTCCGCAGCGCATATCTAATCCACCTAAATTGTCTTCTGCATACTTGTTAAATAATAGATTGTTGACTAACTCACAGTCTATCATAGTTCATTTTTGATAATCATTTTATATTCGGTGTCGAGTGAAGGTAGGTGCTGCTGGTAGTCCTCAGTAGCCTGTTGCAAATGACGCGCTGCCAATATAGAAGCATTGACTAACTTGACATTGGTGTTTGAAATCCAGATCTTGTCCTCGTGTCGAGTGCTATGGATCTCTTCACTGTTTTCAGAGTAATGAATGCCTGTCCTACTTTCAAAATCTGACCAGCCAAGGCTTTGACATCTTTATCTGTTCTGCATGTTGTTGAAACGATGATATCTAGATAAGTGAAGCAGGCGAACTCCTTTGAATTGCAGCCTCCGACAGTGTTTGATGCTTGTTGTTGGGTATGTGTGGGTCATAGGTCTTCACCTGTGTGTCTCAGGTACACTGGTTTCTCTGTAGTGACTTCCAGCCGGCTCGACGACTGTCAGCAAGCTTTCATTTCTCTTTTACATGCTCTCCTCCAAGTCACCCTCGGAAACACAGACCATCACTTCTCATTTGGCTTTCAATAAACGGCCACCTGAGCTTGTATGATGGTGCTTGAAAGTATTCTCAATGCATGACTGATTCATCTCAGTTGTCTTCTGCATATGCGCTGTGTATTAAGTTGTCGGATGACTTTTTGACCTGGAGTATTGAGCCAGCGAGTATAAATGTTAATGAAAGTCTTCAGTAGCCTGTTGAAATAGCTTTCGGTCATGGTTTTGAGAGGTCTCTGAACCACATAAAAGTACCCAATTTTCCTTGATATCCATGTTAAAAATTCCGACATTGCCTCTTGTGTTGTGGACTTCTTCGCTGATTTCAGAGTAGTGAATACTTGTCTGGCATACCCGATCCTAACTTTGATGTCTCCGTCTGTGCTTCTTGTAGGTGAAAAGACGTTACTCAGATAAGTGAGACAGACGGCTCTCTTCAGATTTTACCCAGTGGTTACGTTGTTTCAGAAATTTCTGGAGATTGCTTCATATTGTATGTCTAGGACTATCATAGGGAATCGCATGTATGAACGCACCTGAAACAACGTCTTTTGCACCTCGTATATATCAAATGTCCCATTAGTGGCCCAATGGTTAATGCTTGGACATTTGGTAACTTGGATGATACGCTCGACTAACTGTAAAGTATGTTGATAAATTTTATCAGTCTATTAAAACCCTTTCACAAGATGAAGAGAGGAAGTCAGCATGATAGTTAAATAATAATTACAATGGTTTGTAAACATGATCTGATGAAATAGTCATTTTATGCAGTGATGCGTATCATAAGGATAAGCAGCGGCAAAATAAAGTGAATGTACTGATTTTATCTGAAAATGCACGTTCGACTGATTCCTATGACTAAAAATTACATCTACTATTCGTAAAAGACTATCTTGTAAAGTAAACAGAAGATGAATTGGAATACGGCATATCACTTTCAAGACTTTGATAGTTTCAGTGTTACTGCGAGCAGTCAAAATATACATGACAAACAGAACAATGAATTAATTTCAGTCAAATTCGTAGTGTGATTGAAGGTGTCCCAAATTCCCTGCCGTGGATAGCGAGAATTGGGGTGGTTTGAACTGAATGCGCTGTCTGAACTAGGTAAAACTGAGTTTACCGCTGACAAGTTCGGCCCCGAATTAGCAAAACATCAGTTATCATCTAAACCGGGTAAACTGAGACGCTGCAGGATCAGCATGAAATCACTAAGGACAAGACTGAAAAAGTTGCACTTATTCCACCTACATCATCATAAATTGAAAGCGAGTACTTACTTTCATGAATTTGGAAAAAAAACAAAAGAAAAGACGCAGTTTATCTGGAACTTGTAATGTATTTGCGCAACACATTTCGGACATTCTGATCACATACGTACTTGTCATACATATCGATAGAGAAGGCGACAGAGCATAAATGATTACTATACAGACCAGTTGTGAACAGGTCACGGTCACACGTAATAGGCAGGAAGATGACGTAAGAATTTAGAGTAGGAAAAAGAGAAGAAAAATGGGATCAAGATATTACTAAGTCAATTTATTCTCAATTTTTTTGGCTTATAGCTTGATTTCACATCGTATTTTCAGTACAAATATGAACTATTCAGCTTGTGATATCGGTAGCCTACATTTTGCATGCCAACCATTGATATCAGATGTGCGTCGGCAGGGGATGGAACTCCGGACCATGTGCATGGTTGGCGAGAGTTCCACTGTGACACCGACACATCTTGTTTCGAAATTGGATTACAGAGGCAGGTTCATAGTAATGACAAATTAGTCAGGCTTTCGAAATAATCAACACACCAAGGAAACCATGGTTACATCGGTTGGCAGAAGCTATTGCTATCAAAAGACTTCTATCCAAACTCTGTATATAGAAAGTTAAGGTGACTAATCTCTCACTTTCCTGATGACCGTAACTGCTTTGTTCATTTGTTTTTGTGTTTTGTTCTGTTGTGTAACGTCCCACCTAATTTTGATTTCGATTTTAACTGACTGGGTTGAACTAAATATTGGTTTACCAAATCAACTTAATAGTTTTGTCCATGCCATGACTATACTTTATTATTCACCTCCACTTTTCTGAACTCGCCATCATAAAAAATATCAGTTCAGTTTGTAGTTTCATCCTGCATTCTGTCTCCAGTCAATCCTTATTTACGAGCGAAATCTGGACTCTACCCGCCGCTGTCTGACTATTTGTTAAATAGTTACTCATTTTAACACTGAACAATTCGTCTACTTATATGTGTAGAACTTGGGCACTGTGGTAGTAAGTTTATGGAAAATTATTTGTTTATTAGATATATCACACAGTGAAACAGTTTTATTTACTGGATGACAACGTTTCGAATGCAATTTATCATTGTCCATTATCACGTCATCAATTATGATCACAAAACTTCGAATGTTAGATTGTAGCACAAAGTGGAAAGAAGATGAGAATTTAAACACCGGTATTTATAAAAAACCCACACAGTCAGACCAACATTTGGATTCCAGAACATCACACTTTATGTCAGTAGAAATAGGGTTGGTTAAATGTTTAAGTAAAAATGGAGCACAAAACTTAGTTGTACCAAGGAAAATCTGAAACTGGAAGTGAGATATAATAATTGCCCTTATAAATTAATCAAGAAGTATGTAATGAATAATAATAATAGTGATAGTGATTGTCAGGTCAAATACACAGACCAAAGTAGTAGAACAGGTGCAGTCGGACTAGCCGAGTATATAAACCTAGCAAAATTTAGACTGGTTGACCTGAGTAAAATAAGAAATCTGGAGAATAGTTCATTTATAGAACTAACTACATGCAATTACACACAGCTATACAATAGGATGGGATCAGATGACATTTTAAGAGTCTAATGTAACAGTAGGTTGGAGGGAGAGTTTGATAAACGAAGCTTCGTTTATCGAATAACCTGCAAACACATGTAATAGGAATAATTCTGCACCTTTTCTTAGATCACTGGAAAATGCTACTACCTCTAAGACGAGTGGGAAGAAATAAAGACAGCTGTAAAACTCAAGTTTCGAAGGTGTGGGGTTATAATTGATAACATGATTACGATCGATGACAAAGTGCGTTCGAAACTTTGTCATCCAGTAAATAAAACTATTTCACTGTGTGATTTATCTAATAGACAATTTAGTATGGAATTCATCTGTGTACATAATTTTTGGAATAATGTTACCTAAACTTTCTATTTATAACTCGAAACCATTGTAAAAAGCATGTTCAGTAATTCTACAACTCATAATTGATTTTGTCTAGGATGTACTCACTTGAAGAGATGTCGCGAACTCCTATTACCCTGCAAATGTGTTTGTGGTTTCTATGTGCCTCACAATAGATGTCGTTGGACATATATGACGAGGCACATCATATAGACGAGTCACAAGGTTGATTTCAATAGTGCTTTAAAATTCATACCGACAACAAGCTGGGGTCACATACTTAGTTTAGCAGAAGCCTTGTCCATAAAATGGCTTGAACTTGTATCATCTATTCAAAATCTCGTTGTCATTACTTTAAACCTACCTTGGAACTCCAATTTACAACCAAATTTCAGTTTACATAGTAATATTCTCACTTTCTTCCTTTCTCGTTATTTTCCCCATCTTCTTGCATCATCTTCCCACAGTAACTGTCGAAGACAAGAGGCTTGCTCACGGAATGTCCATCTGAAATTCGGTATCTCTTTACAGAGAAATTTTGTACACGTTAACTGCGAATCCTCATTTACACAGAAATTCCTTGTCCTCTTAATTACGACCTTTCTTATTGTCTTTCTTTATCTTCTTTTCGTATTTCCCATGTTTTGCTGCAACACTGGTTGATTTCCTATTTTTTTGACGTCGCATCTATCACTCCACTATTCAATGTATTTATACCGATAAACGTCTCTTCATATACTACTGATAAATCGTATCAGCAGCACACATCACACTACCCCTTATTCGTGACTTTCACCTGTGCACAACTGACCGAAATCGTCAATATGTATGACAAGTATGTATGTGATCAGAATATCTGAAATGTGTTGCACAAAAACAATACAAATTCCAGATAAACCGCCCCTTTTAATTGCTTTTTTCGAAAAAACTAGTATAATCACAACACCTAATAATGAAAAAAAGATTCTCAGTCAAAGAAATTCGAGACTTACCGTTGTTGTAATTTTGCATATGTATTTATAAATACGTATACAAGATAGTAAGGTTTTTTTAAGCTCAAGATTCTCCGTATTTAGAGGTAGGAGGAATAAAGTTACTGACATCAGTTCTAAATGACACAGGCTCCAATTTTTTAAGGGAATGTTAGGTACTGAGTTCTATTCACAATTAACAGATAAATGTCAGCACAGAAGGAGCCTAAGTACAGGTTATTACATCAGATGTCTGTGAATATCTTAACGGAACTGCCATAAATAACATTACTCCGATCGATAATTCGGCGTTTTAAGGGGCAAAATCAATAGTGAAGATTAACACATTTATCAAGTACATTGGTAAAAAATTGACTTCAACGACTACACTACAAATGCTAGGCTATTCGAAGTAGTCATGCTTCAATCTAATACTTGATGATGAAAAGTTACACTATCAGTTGACGATCAATACATTTTACATTCACTAATCCATAAATTATAGGTTTCGATATAATAGAGAAGACTTGCAGCTGATGTGAATTATTTTGATGAGATCACGTCCTCTGAGCTAGGTGATTTAACTGCGGAGCATTCAAGAGCTCTTTTGTAGTGTTTTCACTTATTTAGAGCTTGATCACAGATTAATATTAGTTAGAGAACCACTGGAAACTAGGGACTACTGGACAGAAAGTACTCTCGAGTGAGAAATCAGTACTACCCGACTATTAGTCAAACTCGAAGACCATTCAGTCACTGGTACGTGACTTAGTGGCCCATGAATCGTAACTTCTGAGGATTTATGATTTCAGAGTGACAATCAGCCAATGTCATCGTTGGCATGTATTTGTCCTCACTCTCGACCGGATGAATTTCAAGCCATTGGTAAAACTTGAAAGAAATCAAATACCTCCGAAATAATTCTTGAAAATTAATTTGAATGGTTTGCGAGCTTGTCTTGCGAATTTTTCGACCTGCTTCTAGACAACATCTTCAGTGCAAGCTTCAGTATGAAGTCCACCTAATTGAATTCTACAATCATAAAAAACGTTGACAAGAAGCACAATTGCATCATCCATGGACAATTCAATTGAGTTTGCTTTATATGACAGCTTACACTGAAGATAGTGTCTAGAAGGATCATGAAAGCCGCGCAATTAAATTACCCAATTCAGAGAAGGCAACCACATCAGAATTATAGATTTACAGAAACAACGACAATAACAGTCATTTATCCTACTTTTCAACTCATTAGAACATTCGTTGTTAAAATGTTAAATGCACAGCATACCACGCCAATAAATACATAAATAACTTTGGAAATTTTACCTCTAAACAGTGGTTTTCCTCTTGTACACGTTTCAACTTGTTCTTTACTTCTTTTAACTTGATGGCTAACTGTTCATATTTTTCACTCATATCGCATAATTTTTTCTCCAAATGTTTGCAATATTCATCCGATTGATGAGAACCTTTTCGAAGTTCTATTTGTCAAGGAGAAGTTCAAATTATCAAAAACAAAATACTGAAAACGTCTTTAAAGGATTTAGCAGATATATGTAAGTAAATTCGCAAAATCTGAATATGTGAGAAAAACTTAAGTGGCAATAACCTTCAAATTATTATTAAACTTAATTTTCATTTTATTTGTAGATGTCTTAAGTGTGATGGCGATAGAGGTATGACGGGGAAGGGAACTCCAAGATGATAACATGAGACCACCCTTCCTGATTTGACATATTACGTTATCACTTCACACTACCTGTGACTGTTATCTTGACATAGTAGTCAAGAGCTGTATTCGTTGGAACAAACGTCCCACCAAGACATAGCATGCCAGGAACATCGATTAGAGAGAGGTTAGACAGAAATTAGTCACCACAAAAGTTCGGGATTTTAAGAACATGTCAAGGGTTTGACGGTGAAGGCGTGCAGTTGGCCAGCACAACAGTTATACAGAATTCCTACTCGGCAGAGGAGGCACCAGAAAAGGTTGATTTTGAATACTGCACATATTGAATTACCGCATGGCTGTGGTCAAAATTCCACCTCCAAATTAGCTGTGTGTGGTGAGCGTCAAACAATTGTCCCTTGGGCTCTGTGGTCAACACAATACTTATGCTCTTTTGGTTTCAGCTACTGTTAAAAGTTTTTAGCTTCTACGGTGTAGGCAGCCGGGGAGTAGAGACCGTCCAAAGAAAATCATCTGCCTATGAAGTTTCGTTGTTCATCACTCACCTTCTCCTTACTTTCCTCATACTCGTAATCCGTTGTTTCCTTCTTACTATATGACACACACTAACAAATTGAACTGAGGAAAAATCAAGCCTAGCTACTTAAAACTGCACTCCTAACGTCACACTGCAGCTCTCAACATCTCGATATTACGCTAAATTTCAAAAGGAATGCGCCACTAGCCTAACTTCTGTATCACTTATTGAAGATCCTGATGGAATTGTGATAGCTCGACCAACATAACTACTATTCTTGGATCCTGGGATCGAAGCGCGAGCAGGTGAGTACTGCTGGAGTTTCAAAGTAGAAAGAGACAACTGTCTACGACATCTTTGTTTCCCAAAGGTTCTCTGGATCCTATCAGCTTGTGGTGAAACCTGTTATCCTAAATAAGCGTTAAAAGTTTCAAGTAGTTATCTATCAAGAATGTAAGATCAATATATGTATTTCCAAGCATCAATTTTTTCAACCAGCGATGCAAGTGTAAAACTTTCAGGGATTTCCATTGGTTGAATCCGTTTAAACAAATGCTTGTCTACTGTATTTTATTGTTTGTCTAAGACAGCAGACCAAATATTGACAGATTATCTATGATAATCTCTGAGAAGAATATAACTGTGACCTTTCGACACCTTCTACTTTAAAAAATCAAATGCTACGCTTTAAAAGAGGGAAGGAGAGATTGTTTACGCACAAGTGTTGAAAAGACATGAGGATAGATTACGTTTCTGTTACCATGATTTACTTCCAATCTTGTTAATAGACACTCTGTTCCCATCAAGAGACGAACTCGAAAGGTTGAAGAAGGAAGTGGACATTCAAGAACAAAACTGAAGCTTTTCAACGATAATAAATAAAATTTAGATAGCGAGACCCGTTAAGACATATATTCACGTGAACTCAAATATGACAAAAAGTGGAAGACTATTATTTATTGGACGTGGGCCTTCTTTATAAACTATCTAATAAGAAATTGTCTAAATGCTTGTTGCATAACTGCATTCACCTACGGTGGCCTGCTTCAATCACTGGGCTACTAGAATTTTTATCCATCAGTTAACATTAACGAACTAATTATGATTGTTTCAAATAAATCAAGAACAACAGTCTGTGCAGAATAAAGTTGTACCAGCATTGCTTATTACGTTGGCTTCTCTTCAATTCATTTGCGCACAACCAAACGACATTATTAAGTTTATGTACAGGAACAATTTTAACATACTTAAACAGAGAGTTCATTAGTGTACGCTTCAATGCTAATAATAATAATAACAATTACTTCACCTAAAACATTAATAATGATCACACACAATGGAAACTTTCGGTGTTACATAATCTAATGAAAGAGAGGATGAAAACAACCTGTTACTAGGTGAAGCAAGAGAGATGACTGCTTCTCCCTGAAGGCATAAATCAGGTTTCAGGCTATTGATGGGGATTGCGCTGGAAAACTTGAGGCGAACTGAGCGCTTTTGCATAAAGATAATTTTGAACGATATTGCGAGGGGGTTGCTTCTTTCAGATTTTTCCCATTTATGCTAGCTGATTGTTGTTGTTGCTGCTGCTGTTAATGTTGGCCTAGAATCTTCATCACCTACCTCTGTTTACTCGATGTTCACCTGAAGTCCACCTCATGATCCGTGTCAAGGAGATGCTTGGCAATGGCACTGTTGAAAGCATTTGTTCCTTTTAGAAATAGGCTTTCTGGTTAGTGTTCGGAAAATCGTATATATTTCCTTCTTTCTGTTTTTCCAATTTGACTGCTCCCGCAGATACACGTAAATTTGTGTATACAGTTTGAGTTAACATAAGAAGGGTTTCTTTCGACTTTTGATTGCACCGAAGAGTATGCTGTCTGATAAACGCGAACCAGCCTTACTGCAGATTAGGCTTAGGCTAGGGACATATTCAACCTTCTATTGATTATTCTCGCAATATTATCATTTTTAAAATGAAGCTGAATAAAGACAGACTTTCTTCCTGCTGTGATTGTTTTGGCTTTACATCCTTCACATCTTCCGTACTTGTTAATGAAACTCTGGTGGTAACTGTTGTTCTCAACATCTTTTCAAGAATCAGAAATACTTCCTTTAATCTGTCTGTAGAGCATGTTCCTCTGACTCTACAGAGCAAAGTTTTACTAGTGCTCGTTTATAGCTATTTAGACAAAAACTAATAAAATGATATTATTATCCATTCCGTGTCGGATTTCTGTAAATTGACCCCTGGAGACTGCCATCTTCTAGGCGTTGCATGAAATGGAACTTTTCATCCTTTGCATGTTCCATAGTTAATTTAATATTTGTATGTATGTCATTAAATATTCCGATTAGATAGGAAGTATGACTTTCATTGTTGCTCACCACATATCGACAATAAGAAGTTGTTCCTATGATCGCATGCTTCAACTGTGTATCTTCAAGGTAGGACATGAAGATATCTTTCAGAGCTAAACCATTGCAATATGTAAAAGAAACGCTGAAAATTCCATGCTGTAAATTGTTATTGTTGTGGAATAAAGTGAATTATTATTATTAATATCAAAACAGGGCTAAATGGACTGCCCATAGCAACACCATCTATTTGGCGGTAAAGAGCGCTGTCAAATTGGAATTGTATATTCATGTTACACATTAGCTGTAAGTGTTTGAATTCGGAAACTGGAAGTGGGAGAAGATCAAAATGCTAACAAATGATTCTGATTACTTGCGCCAGCAGTCACCACCTAACTCGGAAAAAACGCTCACACTTTTTATCATTTTCTCAACATTATTCACCATACATCTTACGAGTACGTGAAGATTTTAACCAGAATTTCTTGAAAATATAATTGTTTACATTTTTTAAGAGTTTGATCACAGAATGATATCAGTTAGAGAAGCATTAAAAACCAGCAACAATTATTGGACTGCTGTTCCGTCCTGGTTTGAGACTCATCGGCAGTACTCACCCAGCTAGTTTTCAACCTTCTGGTTACAAATTAAGTTCTCAGACCATTCAGTTACTGGGACACAATCCACTTTCCCATGGATTCTAATGTCTACCTATTCATAATTTTATCCTGAACTCCAAACAATGTCATCAGTGAGTATCCTTCGTCACTCCTGACCGGAAGGAACCCACTTGTCACAACTTCTCACAAGAATTCCAGGCAGCTTCGTCCTTCAGCCCCCCACTAACAAGCATCAGATTAATCTTCTATGGACTCTACTTCAAACTGTATCTACAAGTTCACCTGCAGCTGCGGTGACACCTGTATATGTATAACCAACAGAATGTTCCAATGTTGTCGAAAAGAACATGTTCCAAAATGGCTACTAAATCATAAAGGAAATCCCAATGCGAGTAATCTGAATAGAGATCCAGCATCATCCACTGCAAAACACTTATTAATGTCAAGTCAAAAAATCAATATAAATGACTTTTTCACAATTATTTCACATAAGTCTAATTTATGGTTATTGAAGGTGATGGAAGCACTTTGGATTAATCACATACAGCCTAAACTGTGTGTATAAAAATCAATTGACTTCAATCTTCGCCTACCCTGGACTACATGACCTATCTAAATATGATTGGTCATTAGTATGCACTTTTGTGTTTTTTATTTAGCTGAGTAATTGTCATGAACTTTATTTTATTATTGTTAACCATGTTAGTTGTAAAGTGGTTGTAAAGAAACTACGAAATGAAGATATCATCTCGCGAAATTTGTCCTATAAATGCCTTATTCTAATCTTCAATAGTTTGTTTGTAGGGATTTGATTTGTTTACACCTTGTGATTTCTGTTTTTTTGTCACGGTTGTGATTAACAATCATGCATACATGTTACCATGGTAATTACGAACGTCAGAGATCTTTAATTTCATTCCAGAGTAAGAAATGAACATTAGAGAAGGGAATGGACTTATTTAGAGAAAGTCTCTCTGCCTGAATACATTTTGTATTTCCCATTGACTGGATACAGTGGAAAAAAATGTTCGGTCTGTGTTGTCAGGTTGGCTCCTGATACGAGCACGTCGATGATGGCCGGAGGTTTACTCTAGGTAATTAGGTGGACAATGACTGCAGTGAAATCCATAATGCGTATCTCTTCCCATTTAAGATTCGTCACTTGAATGTACCTACAAACCCCAGTGAGTGATGGCATTTAAACAATGGGTGATTGGTGCGGGAACAGTGTCACCGACTGGGAATTCCAGCTGAAAATGGTTGACGATTCTCAACAACAAAAAAATGAAACGCATATCCTAGACTTCACTGCTAGCCACGATCCACCAAATCACAGAAAATATATAATTCATTTTGCGAATAGGTACAAATGATACGTACCATAATTCTTGGCCGCTACTTTTCAATATTTCTGAAAAATCCGGTGAACCAAGACTACATGGAGATGTACTAACTGTAGGCGAATCATCATCAATTAATCCAATATCAGCTGAAGTTTGTGAATCCACGCTGATACCTTCGGTTACAGAAGTAACATTATCTGATAACACTGATCTTACAAGCGTGTTCATAGTTAGCATATCGTATTCATTAACAGTATCTATAATAGAATATGTTAGATAGCATAATATGAAAGAAATTTCTTTTTTGAAAAAGCCAACGAAAAGAAGACACTGTAAAGTACCGTTTCCCACTGATATAGCAGTGACACTTATGTAAACAGGTATAAAGTTTTAATGGTCTTCTAACGTCCTACAGATGTAAATCCAGTAGGATTTAATATATTCTTGAAATTTTTGAATAGGTAACTCTTTAGCTGTTTTTCTTTGTGAAAGCCTGTGCAATTAGAGATTATGAACCCAGTCTCTGTGTACAGAAGGATATAGTGACCACTCTGAATCTACCGGGGTAATATCTTTCATATGTCAAGTTTTCTTACAACTGTTATTTTATTCCATCTTTTATTACTATTTTTGACCCAGTTAAAACTGTCTTTTTTCATTAATATTATCCTAACTTCTTTCGTCATCATGTTTATTATTATTATTGTTCAGTCAATATCTTGTTTTAGCTGGAGTGGTGTAGTGGATAACGCTTTGACTTTTGAAACTATGGGTACTGCATTTGAGCATAAGTGGAAATACTACCACACATTGAGGAATGCAGGTACACCAATATGACGAGCCGCGAATAGGACAAAATGAGCATCATGGATTCCGTTGCTACTCACCATCCATCAAGTTACATCAAGTTGAATCCTCAGACATCTTCGAAGCATCCACACAAAGAGCAGAAATGACAACAAAGGCGATGCACTTCAGTCCAATCAATCCATTGGAAAGCTCAAATTATTTAGATTGTCATTCCTGACATTTCCAGGTACGTTCTCTGATAACTAAATGTTCATTGAAGTGATGTAATTGAAGCATAACACATTTTACCTCAATCTGATTCTCTTATACTCCCTTCTGCATAACCGCTTCAAAATGATCTGAAAATCATTTACTTACTTATTAGTCACATGTCTGGCAATGTGTTTCTATTAGTGGTGACTTTATGTACAGTATTCAGGCGAAATTTGATGATGTAATTCCATGGACTCAATAAATCCTGCTTTTTACCTCCGCTGCTATTTTTTGAATTCACATCAGGAAATAAACGTCTCCAGTGATGCTCATATGAAATAGGAAATAAACACTATGCTGAATTCTCACTCTATTAGTAGTAGATAATCTACGCTGAAATGAGGTAATCGTGAGAGATTGAATCTTCCTACTGAAGAGCAATCAGTAATCGGACAATGTGATTAAAATACTATTCAGCTACTTTTCGTGAAGGAAGTTTTCTAAAACAAGCTCCAGTACATTTTTATACTAATGATAATTGAAATTTTTTGTTATTTTCTCGGACTGATAGTGAAACATAGAGCTTCAACAGCACAAATGAATTTTGTCCTGTGCACTGCAGTCCTTTTTAGCCTACTTCATACACTATTAAAGTCTATGCCCTCTAATTCTGCAGAGAAAGCTTTGATGAATGCCGAAGATATGGTTCCCAAAACGACATGAAACAACTGTGTATACAGGATTGTGTTCGGAATGTGAAGCGTGCTATATAGGGGAGAGCAGTAGACAGGTGAAGGTCAGAGTGAATGGGCACAGACTGTTCACGAAACGTCCGCCTAGAAATGAAGTAGAATTAGAACGTCTAGGAAAAAGACGATCTACACAAATGCATGCAATAGACAGCAGATATAAGATCGATTTCGGCAATGTCGAAATTCTAGGAATAGGCTTTCATTTACATGAAGAAAGGCTGACCTCTGAAGCCCTGAATATTTCAATTACATGGAATGCAGTAAACAGGGGAAAAGGGATAAACTTATCACTTATATGGCAGACTCTGAACAAGCAAAAGAGAAGAGGGAGAAAATAAGTTCATTCCTGTATTATGACCGTATTATGAAATATTATCATGTTTAGACGTGTTTTCCACATTACAAACAGCACATACACACACATACAGACAAACATGCACATATGGCAATTTGACATTAGTTAATATAAATATGTGATGAGTGTTTACATTTTTCTATTGGTACAATTGTCTACCTTCAAGTAACCTTCAAAAGAACTGACTTCAGTTTAGGCTGAAAAAACTGGGGCTCACACAGCGGTGCGTGCAGAAGAAATGTTGTTTTGAATTTTTCCTTAACATGCTGAGATTACTATAAATAATTTATCAAGAGTTGCTTAGGGTTTTTTTTCCTTCTCATTTAGATCCGACTATTAGGAGTCCTGTATTGAACATTCCATGATGTTTTTCTGTAGACAGATTTCTAAAGGGGACCATTAGATCTCATTCTGAAGAAGACATGCAAAAAGTGGAATTGGGAGTTGATCTCTCATTCTGAAATAAACTTGATATAATGATGGCAGTTACAAAACTCTTTCGCTGCAACTTCGATGTTGTGATCCTTTTCACATATGATGAGTTTATCATCCTCGTATCTGTCGTGCAAATGCAACTTGTATTCTCCTGTTGATCAGCACGTCAGGCAGTGCTAAGAAGTGTGGTTCCAAAGGGCATGCTTTGTGTGGCCAATATAACAAGCCCTACAGGAGCAAGTGAATTTGTGCAAATTCACTCGGAATTCTCTTTTAAAAACCTACTGCATGAAAATGATCAATATTAACTCCTTATTTAATAGGAAACGGTTATTCTCATGTAGAAATGATTATTACATACAAATACAACGCCAAAAAATTATAGACTTTGACATATAAATGTGTATTTCAACTGTGTACCTTACTTCCTAAGATTCACGATTGATCCATTCACAAAGTAATGGACGTCTGACTATCCCATATATTTTTGCCATTTGCACACAGACGGATTTCTAAATAAGTCATCAAACTGGGATATTATAATCCTGAAGCTCGAGACATTTGAGGGGTTCTACACGATAAATGACAATGGGCAAGTGGGATTTGTGAAGTTGGAAATTCCACTATGAATACAGGCAGGGAGAAAAAGTTGTTGCTATTCGAAATAAGTTTCTTGTTTACATTTTATGTCCTGTGGGATCTCATTGCTCTGTAAATGAACTCATTTCACAACTAATTTTGCCATAAAACAGCGTAGGGACTAAAAAATGTGGTCAGTAAAATATACTACTCATATTGTTTTGTAAGTATCCAGAAAACGGAACACAAGCTTCATTATAGACCTCAATATTGAATAAATGATTATGTCATATTTCACATGGTAAACTAGTTCATACCATACCTCAACTTATCTTAAGTCGAATTCTCACTTTGGAAATCACGTCAGGATTTGCAATTTACACAGTTAGAGCAGGTAAAGATTCACAACAGTTTCCTTTGGAAGCCTTAATTATTCCCATTACAATATCTGGCCTATTAGCTGTCACAGATGGCAGTCAAGAAAGCAAGCGTAAGTGCACGGTGCTACCTAGTACTGATTGATTGCAATCAACAGTTGAATACTGTTCACATCAACCAGTAGTGTTTGTTATCCGGAAGTGTAGTTGTTTGAACTGATTCAGCTATCTGAGTTGACTCAAACCTGATAAACTCCTAATGCGTTCTGTCTCAAACGAGCAAAAGGGCCGTCAGTTCTCTAGGTCACTTTGATCTGGCTAGTAAACGCTGGAACTACGAAGAACAACGCGTTGCCGTCTGTACACAAGAGACCAACAATTGCGCTTTGCTTTATGGGTAGCCAAGCTTCTTCAAGTTTCACAGAGTCCCAGGTGTCACAATGATGATAAACAACAGCTATTTGCGATAAAACCTGCGGTATTGTTTGAAAATAATAACGTATCAAAGAGTCAAAATCATCCAGACAATAATGTTCAGCAGCTATGCAGATCTGCTACTTCCTTAGTTACGCACTAAGTGCTGCAGAACAAAATTATTTTATCAAAAGCAAATGTAAGTAGTGCCTGATAATCAAGAAGAACATTCCGAATATGATGGGATCAAAACTGTGTCAGTAAGAATCACTCACCAAACACTTTCTGTAGATAGTTCAAGGTGAGAATGGAATTGACACTACCAAACAAATTTACAGATTTAAAAAATACATCAATGTCATCAAACAATGGGAAAGAAAAGCACTAAGATTATCGATTACATAGGAACCAAGATAAATGATAGCAGTCAAGTCAACAAATGCACACGTCAGAAAAATGATATTAAGTCTAGCAGAAGAATGGTCAGTGTGCGTCGGTGGCACAGTGGTTAGGACTCTCGCCGACCATGCACATAGTCCGGGGTTCGATCCCCTGCCGGCGCACACCCGATATCTATGGTCGGTCTGTAAATTTGGGCTACCAATATCCATGCTGAAAATTCCATACTTGTACCAAAAATACGGTGTGGAATCAAGCTGCAATCAAAATAAAAAAATAAATAATTAATTAAAAAGTCACTTTGAATGTCTAAACATATCGTTCGAGAGGGATTTTCCAGTTAGTTATTCTTTCAGACGCACTACTGGTTAATGTGATCGGTGTCTAACCACTTGTATCAATCAATTAGTAGCATACAAGGCCATCAATTTAACTAACCTTCAACCTACCAATTTCTATATAATAATAATAACGATTTACTTTATTCCAAAAACAGTACTTGTGATACAAAATGGAATTTTCAGCATTAATCACAATATTGCATCTAATTTCCTCAAATTATAAATGAAATTAATCACACAGAAAATTTTCCACATTTATAATAGGGGTAATGTCAAAAACATGCAGCATATAAAGTAGAAGCAATAGTAGTGATAACACCTAAGGTAATAATTATAATACAAGTGGAAATTGCCGTGGGCTTGTTTCACACAGTATTGTCGATGCGGTATAGAAATCCTAGCATGTTTAGAAGTATTGAATATAATGTTCTGTTCACATGATATGGTGATGGGAAAAACAAAGATCACAGCAGTCATAGAAATAAGTTGGTGTTTGCAATTATGAGAGTGAAACAAAGAAGCAACAGGACCATAAATATAATAGAAATAATAAAAGTAAAACTTGAAGGTATAT